CTAGTTTTTAATCAAAAACAAAAAAAATCCCTTTTATTTTACGGACATTTTTTCAAAAACTTTGTGTTAGGTCCATGTGGATTGAAAATCTCTTGAGTCAGGAAAATCAAAAATAATTACTATTTTAAATTTTTCAATGTGTGATACAATATATGGTCATGGATAATGTAAATACAATAAATGAAATATATTAAATATTTATCAATTTGTAACTGTAAATCCGCCAAACCTATGAATATATGGGGGAATCTACTTGATTACAAAGATATTGAGAATCTGACCTGCAAAGGTACGAGTAGAAACGAGCAGAAAAAGGTTAAATAGCAACTTGTGAGTTTTTTAACAAATGCAGGGTAATCGCGAACATGTACAAAAAGCGATAATGCGATGAAAAAATTTTCATATTCTCAACAACTTATAACATACTCTTAATTGATTTCAATGTAATATGTTCGGGATTGTGTTCAATAATCTTCTGAAGATTAAACATATAACACTTCTGTACGCCGGGTCCATTAGCGCCTGATCCAATCAGGGTTCAGTCATGTGTTTGTTGTCTATTCTGAACCAATAGAAATAGTATGGCGGTGACATCTATCGTTCTATTTATCTCATTATCCAATTAGAGTTATGAATCCTTCAATTGGCGCTATCGCTAAATTGACATATTTACTTTCACTGATACTATGGTGGTGATAACTAAGAAAACCACCCTAGATTATTTTATCTGTAAACTTAAAAAAAATGTTAATATATATAAATATATCATACACACATTAAAAATAGTGCTATATAAGAGTTATTTGCAACAAAATAGTTTAATCACTTCAGTTTTCATCAAATTATTTGGTGAGATAAATAAGCACTGTTTTTCATTCTTTTGCTTTCTTTTATTTTCCATCTTTTTTAAAAACTTTCTATATGGGGGCCTGTTTTATTCTTTTTCCTAATTTTATTGATTTTCAAAGTACTAATGAAAAATAGAACCGCGTATTGCTTTGTTTTTGTTTTGTTTTTATTATGAAGTGTTTAATAATATAAATAAAGAACTGTCTGTGAGAAAGTTCAATGCAGAATTAGTAGACTTTAAGTGTTATTCACAGACTACACAGACTGCTCATATACTCTACCTGGATAGGCTGAGCAGGCCTATAATGTCCCAGCACGCCATGCTACGGTTTCATGTAATGTTTTTTGACTGACATCTCACGGCCATTTGTTGCATTCAGGGGTTTTACAACTTTTAAAGAAATACTCCAATTTTAAACATAAAACATAACGTTTATGAATATTGTCTATTTTTAAAGATTTAGCATTTCCTATATTCAAAGGATCCTTAAATATCCCTGAAAACAGATGTCTCCTGATTGGTCGTGTACAATACTTGTATACAATAGAACATGCTGTGGAAAATATCGCATATTTATAGTAGGTAGTCGATCTCTGTAACTCTCTTATTTCTGGTGTAATTGGTATCCTTGCCCTCGAAGAGGAACGGTTCTGAAGGTTTGAAAATCCACGAAAAAAAAATATTTGTAAATCCGCAAAATTTTTTTTTGTTGCATTGGAGAGAAAGTGCTGAGGTTTTATATCTAAAAAGTTCTATGGAGCTTTATTCATTCTTTATAAGACAAATCAAATGATGTTTTCAGAAATGTATTTTTTATCCAACATTTTCCATAAAACAGGAAAACTGTAGTAATAAAGCTTTCTCATAAAGTACAAGAAACAATTAAAATTACTAAAACAAAGATTGTTTCCAAACATTTGCGTAAAATTAAAATATGTATTTGAGATAAACTGAGTTTGTGTCCAAAACCCTTAAATCCCTGCAAACCGTAGTTGTAAAATTTTTCTATTGGCCCTCCATTTAAAATGCCTGATTCACAACGGTACCCTGGTTTAACATTCTTCCTTCCAAAATATAATGATGATATTCATGTTTTTCTATCTGAATATTTCTAATTTCTAATTGTGATTTCTTTATGAATTAGATTTGGATCTATGGTTAACTTATTACAACTTGATTATTTTCATTTGTGACTTGCGCATCAGATATTAAGATCAGATATTAAGATCAGATATTAAGATCAGATATTAATATCAGATATTAAGATCAGATATTAAGATCAGATATTAAGATCAGATATTAAGATCAGATATTAAGATCAGATATTAAGGCTTTTGTTAATCGGAACTCTTAAACTGTAAAATTTTAAAGAGATTTAGTTTTCTTGATCGGCACTACAGTATGCCGAGTCCATTAGAGCCTGATCCAATCAGGGTTCAGTCATGTGTTTGTTGTCTATTCTGAACCAATAGAAATAGTATGGCGGTAACATTTATCTTTCTATCTATCTCATTATTCAATTAGAGATATGATTCCTTCAATCAGCGCTATCATTAAATGGAAATATTTACATCTATGTAACTATTGTGTCGGGTAAACTTTGAAGTGTCGTAATCCCTTACATAACGCACTTTTTTCGTTTTTTTAGAATAAAAATTTAATTGGAGAGTGCACACTTTTGAGTATATACTGTCATTAATGAGTAATGTGCGTTGAGTTGGTTATAAATTTCTTTCAGACTAAAACTTTTTGCATAATGTAACAGAAGAATTTATTTCTTGAAATTTTTATGCTAATTATTTGCCGTTTTTTTTGTAAAATTTAGACGTTTGCAGAAGCTAAAAGCAAAAAACGATGCAAAAACTATGCAAAAACTATGCAAAAGCGATCCAAAAACGATGCAAAAACTATGCAAAAATATGCACAAGCGATCCAAAAACTATGCCAAAAACGATGCAAAAATGATGCAAAAGCGATTCAAAAACGATTCAAAAACGATGCAAAAACGATCCAAAAACGATTCAAAAACGATGCAAAAACGATCCAAAAACGACCCAAAAACAATCCAAAAACGATGCTAAAACGATCCAAAAACGATCCAAAAACGATCCAAACACAATTCATAAACGATCCAAAAACAAACTAAAAACGATGCTAAAACGATGCAAAAACGATGCAAACATGTTGTATATTGATTGTATTTCTAATTTGTTTTTATGATAGATATTGCAAAATCAGATAAAAGCAAACTTTGCCTTAATATTGTTTTGAAATATTGCCTGTTTCAGGGATTGTTCTCTAAAAGCTATTAAAATATATTTACACCACTAACGTTTGAGGAACAGATTAAAAAGTAAAAAAATGTAAATATTTTGGTTTCATGGGGTGATGAAATAATTTTTGTTCTTTTCTCAAACTAAAGTGTAAACCATCTGAAATCGCAGGTGTAAAATCCATGTGGAGGCTTGATAAAGAGACATAATATCATACAATATTATATACAATAATCTCTCTAATGACCTGTATGTCCAATGCTGTGCCAAAACTGTGTAAAAACGTGGTACAAAGTGACCAAGGTTTCTCAAAACTAAATAGTAAATACTCTGTGGTTTAAACGTCTCATTTTCCTCACATGTAACCTATTACAGTAAAAATGACGTAACTTCACCCTTTCCCGGTACACAAACATAAAGACTGCAAATTCAGGGCAAAATATATTTTTGCAAACTTTTTCCGGGCATCCGTTAAACGATGTGGAACTTTTAAAACATAAATTTGGATTTTAATGATTTTTTTGGGGTTTTTTGCTGAGTTGGGCAGGGGCTAGGTTTTTACTTCCCGTCTACAGCGAGTAATGGAGGCCATTTTCTATCTATCTATCTATCGAAGTCTCTATCTATTCATTTATCTATCTATCTACTTATTTATCTATCTATCTATCTATCTATCTATCTATCTATCTATCTATCTATCTATTCTATCTATCTATCTATCCATCTTATTGGTATTAAAGTGTTAATTATCATTTTCCAGTGGAGTACTTAGTGTCCTGAGTGTTAATTGCCATCCCTCCGTCGCCGATTGAGTAATACATATTCGGAGTGTTAATTAAGTTCCCTCCGATTGAGTAATACATATTCGGAGTGTTAATTAACTTCCCTCCGTTGGAGTGCTACTAGTTGGAGTGTTGATTATCTAACCTCCGATAATGTGCTACATAGTCGGAGTGTTAATTATCTACCCTCCACACGTGGATTTAACGGTTCTGTCAATATTCCAGAAAGTTGTGACTTTCGATCACAATTTGACCCATTAAACATAATTTTTTTGCCTTTTTCTTGGATACTTTTTTTGTCGGCATATACGTTTTTTTGAATTTTTTTGAATGAAAAAATATAAACAAATCTGTAAGGTAAAAGATTGTTGAATAGAGCAAAACATGTTTGGTTTCAAACAGAAGAATAAAAAATGTGTATTCCCTTCGCAAGAGATAATTTCCCTCTGCTGGCAGATGGATTTGAAAATACTACTGCAAACTTCAATCTCTGAAGATATCGTGGATTTTTTGTCTTTAAAACATGACATTTCCCTGAATTCATGGATAACATTTTGCCTCTTTGAGTAATTTTTTCTATATTGATTATTAATAAATTGTATAACTTACTTTTAGTAATATATATTTCCAATGCCAACAGTAAATGAATCGTTATGCAAGAAATTAATTGTGACTGGAAAAAAAATTTCCAAGAACCCCTTAAATGTCGTCTTCTTTGTTGAAATAAAAAAATGTGGTTTTAATATTGGTCACAGGAGGGAGGGAACCTCCGGACGCCATGAGCCTCCGCCACACTGTAAACACACATGGGGAATGGAAATGGAAATGGAAATGGGTTCCCTTTAAATGAGAATCATTTTCCGACTTTCAAGGATATCCCTTTCCTTAATTTCAGAATATGATTCCTTTTCATTACAGAAAACATTTTCTTAATTTAGGAAATATTCTGTCATTATCGGAATTTGAATCTGTATTTTATGTATAAGAACTCAATTCCGATATAAAAAGAATATAATTCTAAAATAAGAAAACTATTCCGAAATTCGCGGAATTTAATTTCAAGTGAACGGAACTCATCCCTGAATTAGATCCAAGATGGCCACTGGCCAGTACAGCTCATTTTTCGGTCGGTGAAACATCTTTTAATTTCTAGACTATATTTAAAAGAATCTTTATACTTATTAAATTAATGTTTGCAAGATCGGTTTGGATAACAAATCAACACTTCAAGTCACTGGTACGATATAAATTCAAAATTTATTGCGGGTATGTTTGATAAATAACGCAATATATGAGATCCGGATTTGGATGAGGATCCATTTTTTTCCAGTCCGGAGCCAGGATCCGGATCCGCATCCGCATCAAAATTAAATGGATTCTAAGCACTGGTCTAAAGTCATCAACATTTGGTCGGGAAACTCAGTTTAGACACCCCACATGGACCTATCACAAAGATTTTGAAAAATGTCCGAAAAATGCGGAAAAAAGGGGAAAAATTATTTTTCCTACATTTGCTGTTTGATTCAAAAACTAGATCACAATTCAGGTCTGCATGCAAAAAATCAGAGAGAAATCTCTATTAGAAGGCTTCTTTGGCCTTTAGGAGGGGGAAAATGCGGGAAGGGGGGGGGAAATGGTATAAGGAGAGGGGGAAATGCATTATAGAATCCAGAATTGAGTTTCCTGACCCAATGTTTATTACTTTAGACACCCCACATAGGCCTAACGCAAAGTTTTTGAAAAAATGATCGGAAAATGCGGGAAAAATTAGGGGAAAAATATTTTTCTCTCACTTTGGTTTTTGATTCAAAAACTAGATTACAATTCAAGTCTGCATGCAAAAAATCAGAGAGAAATCTCTGGTAATTAAGTCAGAAGGCTTCTTTGGCCTTTAGGAGGGGGAAAATGCGGGAAAGGGGGGGGGAAATGGTATAAGGAGAGGGGGGAAATGCATTATAGAATCCAGAATTGAGTTTCCCGACCCAATGTTTATGACTTTAGACACCCCACATAGACCTATAACGCAAAGTTTTTGAAAAAAATGACCGGAAAATGCGGGAAAAATCAGGGGGGGAAATATTTTTCTCTCACTTTTTTGATTCAAACACTAGATCCCAATTCAGAATTGAGTTTCCCGACCCAATGTTGATGACTTTCGACACCCCACTTGGACCTAACACAAAGTTTTTTAAAAAAAGTCTTAAAAATGCAGGAAAAATTATTTTTCCCCCACTTTGGTTTTTGATTAAAAAACTAGATCACAATTCAGGCCTGCATGCCAAAAATCATTCAATACTCTTCAAAAGAGTAAGGACAAACTCCTGATGATGCCAAAGTTTTTGGCGAAATATATTGAGAAGAAAATGATATAATTCTAGTGCTAGAGAGTAGGGTTGGGATTTGTTTAAAAACGATCTAAAGTTTATGCCAAAAATCAGAGAGATATCTCTAAAAACAAAGTCATTAGAACCCCCCCCCCCCTTTTTATGTAAATATTCTGTCTAATTATATTTTTTTTCAACCGAGTATTTATTTTGACAAAGTTTTTTCTTAATCTTGTCAGGAAATGAGCTAAGAATATTTTTTATAAGTGAGGAGTGAAAACTGCTCAATCTTCTTATCTCTTACCTCATAATCCGCATTCCCTTTTTAAAAGAAACAAAAAAAGCCCTGTAATACCTCTAAGAGAACAGAAAATTTATGTCAAATTGTTGTTTAAGTCTGAGCTGAGCTCTGAGAAGATCTGAGCTGGGAATCGAAGGTAAAATTTGATTTTTTTAAATTAGTAAACATGAAGTAATTAATAATTTCTTATGAGATTTCTACTGCATTTTTAACCTGAGCTGAAACCTTTAGAATGTGATATCCTTAATCACGATCGGTTAATTTATCTGGAGAATAATTTAACAAGAGGAGAACAAGCATTATTTAATCTTGAGATTAAGAAAATGAGTAGATCAAGCATTAATTCCGATATCCACTATTCAAGAGTTCCCAGCTCTGGATTTCTATTTTCTTTTTATTTAATTAAACGGCGTTACATATTCTACAAACTTGTAGTTTTTACCTTTTCTCTATCATGGTATAAAACTGTGTTTATACCGTTACTAAGAACTGAATTTTTAACCACGATCTTTTTTTATTTAATTAAACAGGTTTGGGGGAAAAAGCTATATATATGTCTCTACGAAACTAATGAGCTATAAAACCAAATATTTGAAATAAACCTATTCTTATCTTGTTATCCTTTATTCCACTGCACTTTGCTGAATTTGTCATCTAAAATCTAAAGCGCCAGATTTAAAAACTGTTTTTATGGCACAACTTTTTTATATTTAGATGTTTACCGCTGAGGCTGTGCCAACCTGGTCGACTTAGATGGTTTCTAATCGAAAATTCAGAATATATATTTTAATTAATCTTTAAGATTAGCTCATCCTGAACCTGGACTGGACTAGATCCTGGACCCTGGACTGGATAGGATCCTGGATACTGGACTGAAGCGGACCCTGGACTGGAAAGAATCCAGAACCCTGGCATGGACAGGACCGTGGACCGGACCCTGAACTGGACCGTGGACTGGCATGGATAGGATCCAGGACCCTGGACTGGACTGGACCCGAACTGGGAAGGATCCAGGACCCTGGAGTGGACCCGCCCATGAACTGGAAAACGGGAATTTAGATTTCTAAAGATAGGAAAAGAGTTCCTTTAATATCGGAATTCAATTCCGATATTTTAAGAATTGAAAACTATGACCGGAATTCAGTTCTGATATTTTAAGAATTAAAAATTAGGATCGGAATTCAGTTCCGATATTTTAAGAAAGGAAATCTAGGATCGGAATACAATTCCGATATTTTAAGAATTAGATTCTATTTTAATTCTATTTGAATAATTGAGACGGAATCAAGTTCTGGATTTCGAGAAACTCTTTTCCTTTAATTTCGGAAAATGCTTCCATGAAATATCGGAATCTGGTTCCTATATTCACGCACGAATGCCTTTTTTTCCGCGAATATCGGAACTAGTTTCTGTAGTTTTCCCGATTTGTGTTTACAGTGCATGCAGACATGAGCCTTGCAGATTTTCTAGGCAGACTGAGCCTCCGCTATACAGCAAAGCCTACTAACAAATCTCAATTTATACATGTATTATAGATTTTTTTTTCATTTTTATCAACATAGTGGAACAAGAATTTTACTTAGGATTAGTGTTGCTTATTGATTTTCATTATTTGGTTGATAAAGTGGTTTATGGGATTTACAATAAAACATTTCTTACGCAGCACTGAATTGAACAATTGGTTTATTTTGTTTTAATCATTGATCAAGATGTACCTTGCAGCGTAGGACTGCATCCAACTCTTGGTGTTGAAAAACCTGGGTTGGTGTGTTCAGAGCCCCTGCGAGGCACGGACGTGTGGGGAGCTGACTGCTACTTTCATCCCCTATCGACGTCGAACCTATTTTTTTCCCAAAGAAAATGTTCAAAAATCCGCGAATTTTTCATCAAAAAATCCGAAACTTTTTGAAAATCATTAGTTTCCTACAAACCAGTCCCAAGGAAGGAGGCAAGAAAATGGCTTTTCCGATGTTTTCAAAGGATGAAACTTCAGTAATGATTGTATGGAATTTCTGCATTCTTGTGTCATCTGTATTTTTTTTTCCTTTTCAAATTATTTAATGAATTATTCAAAAACTATATTCATAACATCTCATCCTTTGTGGGTAACCCTGTATTTACACGAATAAATTCACGAGTTTTCTAAAACCATCTTATATTAGAGAAAATAAAGCCAAAAAATTAAAACACATGTAAATGCAGGTCACACAATATTAGTATACAGGGTTACTTACAAAGGATGAGGCTTCAGAGACGACTGCAACGAAATTTATACTGTCTGTTTTTTTATAGTCACGATTCCCTTCACAACTGTAAACTTGTTTTTTTTATCAAAAAAAATATTACATTACTATATCTAAGGCAAAAGATTTTATTTAAAAAGAAAGAGCGGCTATGTACGGTAGTTAAACTGAGTATGCAGTGGTGTGGAAAAATTCTTCAGGATTCATTTGAGACAATAAAACTTTTCCATGATGTATGATTACTGAGTTTGATTGCAAAGTCGATTATCAAAATCATGAATTCGGGTGGCTAAGTTTTTTTAAAATTTTTAAATAACTAGGACGGAAAATAAAGTAAAAATTATACAGTAAACTAATCAGATGTTTAGGAACATATTTCTCAAAAGAAATTTGTCAATAAATCAATGCTAGAATCAGTTATTTCGTTTTCTTTATTATATTGAATCTCTTATTTTCTATGAATTTGTTTGCAATTTCCTACAAAATCTTCAAATGTCGTCTTCTCAATAATAATTCCAGAAAATCTGCAGAAAATCTTTGTGAATAATAAAAAACCAGAATAATGAGAAAATAGAAACTAATAATTGAAATAGATTTTTTATTTTCGAGGATAAGATTAATTTTTATTTTCTCAACCTGTTCCTAAACAACTAATTTGTTTTCTGTAGAATTTTGATATTTTGCCCCTTGGATCCTGATTCGTGGATCCGCATATTTTTTGGGATCTGAATCCGGATCCAGAAAACCAAAATCTTGCGGATCCTAAGCACTGGAAGAAATAATTAAAGAACAAATATTTCTGCAATTTCTGGTATTAAAGAGGTGGTACGTGCTTTGTATGCAGAAATTGTTACATTTGAATCCACCTTTTTTAACTTTGTTTTAACAGTTTAAAAATTTTGTTCTGCATTTAATTTTTCTTATAAAAACAATAAATAAAAATGTATTTTTATTTTATTTTATCAGTTCTCAAATTATTCATAAATTAAGGATAATTTATTAAAAAAAAGTTCTGCTTTACTCTTTTCCAAAACTTCTTTTTTTTATTACGTTTCAATATTTACAGTGTAGCTGTAGAATGACATTAAATCATGACAATATTTGAAAAAATTTAAATATTCTATGACCTATTTGAATATGTCAGAGGATGTAGCAAAATTTAAAGTTAAAGGATTTTGAAATAATTTGTTTTTGCATAAACCTAAAATACTAAAATGATGTTTTTGAAATACCAAATATAATAGTGTGAGCTGAACAAAAGGAATAATACTCGAAAGAGGGAAAGGCAAGTTGGCAAGGAAAACACTCTCTTCTACCAGACACAGATAGATGATAACTTCTTGAAAAAAGTATATTTCAGTAACGAGGTTTCCTACAAAATACAAATTGTTATTGGCGTACATGCATATAAATAATAATAGTTAATAAAGATTAAACAGTTGAAGGGTTTTTTATTATCAATAAATGAGTATTGGAATTCTAGGTTTTGTAGGTTTAGTAGGATTGGAGATTTTAGGTTTAGTAGGTTTAGCAGGATTGGGAAATAATAATTTTAGTTTAGAACTTGAAATATTGGTTCCTTATCTTGGGAACTATATTCATCCCTCCCAGTATTGTATACTCTCTCTGTTTGGAGAATTGAATCAAGGGGTAATATTTTTTACTAAAAAACGAAAAAATTCAGATTCTTATTTTCACTATTTTTAGGATATGATGGCTGCAAAGCAGATTCTTAAAACCAAGGTTGTATTCACACTTACTGATAACGGAATGATACAGATATTTAGTTGTTTAATGAAATGATTATATGGAACTCTTTATAACTGTTCCCGAACATTCATGGATATCTATTTATTTTTGTAATTAGTGAGATTTACGTATGTTAGTAAAAAAAACCATGAAAAATAGTGAAGACGACATTTCATACATTCTTTAGATAGCTCAAAATCTGGGGTACACATAGAATAAATTCATCCTTACTTTTCATGTTGTCACAACATTTTGTAAATCTAAGAAACAAATTGTTTTTTTTCTTTTTTTAACAATTTGTTGAATTTGTTTAATCTTTGTAACTTTGTAAGATACTAGAAACCGGCGTTGCCAAATCAAGTCAAATCAAAATATTTATTAGGCTACAAGTTTTTACAATGTACATACACCATAATGATAATTAAAAATAACAAACAATTATTAATATATTTTGGCCGGGGAGCTACTCCTCCCTAAAATTTTCCTCCAATTTGGTTCAGCTGTTTGTCCAACTATGGCTAGAAAATATATATTGGTGAAGAGCTTTATATAAAAATATGGATATTTTGTATGCAGATTATTCTGAATGAAGACGACACCCGCGGACTGAAACGAGGAGATGGATTAGATACTTGTCATCTTACTATAACAAATGATAAAAATAATCAGGAATTTTAAAAATTTTCAGTTTTGTGAAAAATCACAATTTACGACATTTTCAAGAAAATTTCAACTAATTTATAAAAAATGAAAGTTTTATATTTTGCGAACAACTTACTTTTGCTATGATTTCAGACTAGAATTAAGAATAGTTTGTGTCTTTCAAGAAGGTAATTCATTGTTTACAACTATTTTACAGTTAAGTTAAGGGAAGTTTACTTTACCAAAGGTTCCCCACGACCAATTTGATCTGCAAAACATCCAGAGCGAGATATGTTTTTTTAGCAAAATTGGTCAACGGAACTCCGTGGTATAAATTATATAAATTATATTTTCAATTTCTCAAAAAAGTAGTTTTACATAATGTCAGATCGTTTATCAAGATAAAATGCGCGAATTATTTCCCGAAAACTTCACAGAGCGGGTGTTTATTTTACTCAAATGTCCCAAGGGACGTTATGTCCCTCTGTTGGTGAAATCATAGGTCAGTAATGATGGTCAAAAGGTGGTAATAATTGTTTACATCTTCTGTCTATTTTTTTTAAAGAAAAGAAAAATTATATTTTATTTGCACATTAGTCACACTGATCCTTAAAGATTGAAAGTTCTTAAAGCAAAAAAAATCGATAAGAATTTTATCACTTCTAGAAAAAAAAGCTAAAAAACAATTTATACTTTGCAAATAATAAATGTCATCATTAAAACTACTGTTTATTCAAAGTATTTTTAAGTATTTATATTTTCTAGGAGGTCTGATTGCGTATTCATAAATATAATCGAGGGACAAGGAGAATCAGGTTTTTGATTTATTAAATTAATAATTGCGCGCTCAAATACCCGGTTTTGCCCGTGGAATCCCTAAAGTAGCTGCAGCCACATACTCTTCATGGTGTCTCACGAAACATTTTGTGAATATAAACTAAACAAATGCAGCAACTTATTGAACATTTCATAGAAGATCATTAAGTTGTCTTTTAACTGTCACGTTTGTGGGACACCTTGTTTCGCTATTTATTTTTGTTACAATTTAATAAGTTTTTCGGGTTGGCAACTTGGTATACATTTGGCTTAGGGGACAATTATGAAATCCATTAAAACACCTGCAAACCACCCCGCTTATCATTGAAGTACACTTTGACCCCTAGAAGTATGAGTTCGCTGACTGTACAATTCTTGGTGATTTTGCGTTTATAAGCTCAATGTTTATTTACTTATAAATGGGACAAACACACACAATCATACTCAAAAACAGACACAAGACCAAAGGAGTTATGTGCATGCCGCGTTAACTTACAAGAGGGCCTGTTACAGCCACGGCGCTCGGTCCTAGCCGCAGCGATCGACCCAGACAGTGTCTTAACTGAGCCTAACCCTAACATTTGTAATAATTTCTTCCTTTCCTTTAATCCAACGCGGCAAGCGCATGTAACTCCTTTGGACAAACAAAAAACTCCTAAATCTTGAAAAGATGACATTTATTGTTCTTGTGTTGTTATTAATCTATTAGAAAAACATACACGCAATCACATAAAAAACACGAGGCTTAGCTTTATTTATCATTTGAAATGTCAAAGTTCATGTATCGTTTGTACTACGTAGCATTGCTAATTGTTTTAGTTCGTTTTTAGTTCATTTTCAGTTCGTTTTCAGATCGTTTTCAGTTCGTTTTCAGTTCGTTTTCAGTTTGTTTTTAGTTCGTTTTAAGTTCGGTTTCAGATCGTTTTCAGTTCGGTTTCAATTAGTTTTCAGTACGTTTTCAGTTAGTTTTTTGGTTTGTTTTGTGTAGTGGTTGCTAATCGTTTTTAAAACAATAGATAAAACTATCGTTTTTCGTTTCATTTGTTTTTTTTTTAAAACTACCATTTCCTTTTTGGAAGAAAACGATCGTTTTTGAAAACGAACCTTTCGCTTTAAACTTTCGAAAAAGGAAAAAAGATTGTTGTTTAAAACGTAAAACTATCGTTTAAAAAAAATTCCCTTATAAGCGATTAACTTTTTATCCTTCTTTTTATTTTTGCGAAAACCCTATAGAGAGTGTTTTTTGCGATCTGATTTCAGTATAAAAAACTTATCATTAGGATACAATGAATCAACATTGGAAGTTGTGATAAAAGGAAATTTAAGTTTTCTGAATCTTTTTTTCCCTGGTTGCGGAGAAACTTACAGGTGAGTGAGATGAAGGAATAATTTCTCTTTATTAATAGTTTTTTTTTAACTAAATAAAGCTAGTTTAAAAGCATCAAAGATTAGATTAGAATATCAGCACATTTTTACTACATTTTTTAAGCATATTCAGTTTATATATATATATACATATATATATATATATATATATATTCATAGATTTTTGCTTGAGACTATGCAGAGATCTTAAAATCACAGTGCAGTATGTCCCACAAAAGCCTAAAAGAGTTATGCACGCTTGCCGCGTTTATACAAGTAAGAGAGACATAATTATATAAATAATGGTTGGGTAAGGCTAAGAGTTAAGACACTTTCTGAGCCGATCGCTGAGGCTAGGAAATACTATGGGGGGCCGAGCGCTGCAACTAGGGCAGACTAGAGGGCAGATTACCGCGGCTGTAACAGGCTCTCTTTCTTGTAATTCAACCCAAAATGCGCTATAACTCCTTTGGGCTTCTGGCTGTGGCTGTATATCTAATGCAATCTTATTTGATTTTTTTGTTCAGATCTGTTTGCATTTACAATCATGATCATAATCGTACAACAAGGTGAGAATGTATTTTTTTGAAAGGGATCGAGATGGGGATGAACTAAAAGTAAAATTTAAAACACTCTCTTACAGATTTCATGATTTGATTTAACAGAACTTATAACCAAATTTGTGTACTGTCCATGAGCCTAGTGTTTTGATGTTTTTATGTTTTAGAAAAGAAATAAAAAGTTGAAACAAAAAAGGTGGATTCATAAAGATCCATAATTTCAGGTTTCGTACTGTCGTCGCCGTATATATCAATGCAATGAAAACGATATTTCTCCTAAGCATTAAAACAGTTTTGATATACAAAAACATTAAATTAACAAGAAGTTGTCAATCAACTGCTTCTCTTAGATTTCTTTTAAATTTGTAAGTCGCCTTCATGGTGTTAATAAAAACGCCATCCACTGTATTATAAAGTTTCCCATTTAAATTAAAAAGTTTGAAATAAGAGAATTATAATTTCATTGCTCCCAAGATTTTTACTGTTTCATAGAGTTGAATTATATCTGCTGTATTCAAATTCGGATTAATTTAATCTTTATTTGATATCTGGTGAAGTGCCAATCAGATATCCCAAGAACATCCAATTAGAAGCTAGGGAATTTTGGATTAAAATAATTAGAAGCTAGGAAATTTTGTGGTAAACATATTGGAAGCTAGGGAATCTTACATAAAATCAGAAGCTGGGAAATTTCGGGTTAAACCAATAAAAAGCTAAGGAATATTGTGTTAAACCAATTAGAAGCTAGGGAATATTGTATAATTATAAGCTATGGGAATTTTGCGTTAAACCAATGAGAGAATCAAGAAAGTGGAGATATCCTTCGCAATAGAAAGGCAAAACAGAAATGATCAGTTGGACAATTTAGAATTGTTTCTAATCTTAATCTTTACCAAATATTTTCAGGAATTCTCATGTTGAAATCAAACATTTATGTCAAATTCAAGGAGTGCCCAGGGATAGAGTGGACTCCTTGAAGGTAAAAAAAAGTAAAAGATCAACAAGTTTTTATTTTTCTCTAACTAAAAACCCCGCATAAAAAAATGATGGAATTTAAAATAAATATGCAATATTATCACATTTTTTGATGCGGCATGAATTACAAAAAAATAAGTGTAATAATTGTGCAAAAAAAACATCTGTGATTAGAAAATATGTATATTTCTACTTCACATTCATTTATATCACAACAGATAGTTTTGATGAAAGTTTTTCTCTTAATTTTTTAAAATTTTGAATCTATCTGGTGTTTCAAGAGACTTAACATGCTAATCTTTAGAAGTCTGAATTTTTTTTAATTTTAGTGCGTTTTATACCAGTTCTCTATTAGTTAGATAAATAAATACATAATATAAAATGGGAATGAATCAAATGCTTTAATTTCAAATCACATCTACATATTTAGTCTGGAGATATGAAAGATATAAAACTAAACATCAATCATTTCCCAATGTTTTGGTATTACAGGTAAGAAGGGGTTTATATTTTCATGATAAATAATCCCCCCCATCTCCTCTAAAATCTGTTCTTTCTGTGTTAAAAGACAGTAAGCGTAATGTAATGCAAAAATGGCAATACCCCATTCGCAATGATACCCTTGAAACCTTTATCTGATCAATAATGTGGAATAAATTGTTGTTTTTCCAGGTTTATAGTTTATTTGAAAATTGCTCTTGGTTTTTCAGAAGTAAATAATCTTTTTACAAAAAAATAAAAATTGTTAGGACAATGCATGTAAATGTATCATTGTGAATTGGAGTACTTTTTAAATTTTGCAAAATATCTTTCTAGAAGGGTTGAAGGGTATGGTTGTGAATGGAGGATGATATAAAATTGTATTCATAATCTCTTCAACATCTAGAAGTTTTGATGCTTTTCATTTTATTATCTATATAATAAAACACCCAACAAGCTGGCCTGACATTTTTAGTAGACACTCATGGGTGGCAGGGGGGTGTTATAGGCTAAAAAAAAACATTTCTTTTTAAATGTTTTTGCAACGGGCAACACTGGGCCCTTCATTAGAGGTCTAATATGAGACCATAGGAATAATAAAACCCTTTTTTTAAATGCATAGTGAGGTTTTCTAAATCAGCATGCATAATTTCTTAAAAGGGGTTGTCTAAATCAGTTTACAGTTCCTTTAAAGGGATTACCTACAGCTAGACTTAGTATTTGAGCCAGTGCACCTTCCTGCATGCATGCCCGCAGGTGTGCTACACCACAACCTGCTTAGAAGGCGTCAAAACCTGCTTTGAGGGGGAGCGCGTGAAGGATTTCAAAGATCGATTTTGCGCTCTTAATTAGGAATTATACAGCGTAAAAACATCCTGTAGGTCTCAAATGATTTTTAAGTTGTCACAAATACTGCACTCTCCGCTCAACTTCCATATCCAGCCAGACCAGCCTTTAACTATCCATAAAAATAACTATCTAGGAGTTCCTACAACGGATCAGACAGTGAGGGGGTAGAAATTCCTTTTGGACCTTCTTATTCTACATTTTATATATTTGCTGAAAAGTTTGGATTTGAATTTACTTTATACGAAGAATGGGAGTGTACAGTTGAAAATGAAACATCATATAGCCAAGAGTGTCAACAAATTATAAGTATTTATTTGTTGGATAGAAATTTTTTTTTTGAGAAAAAAATGTTTACATTTTTAGTTTTGTAAAATCAAATATTTTATCTGATGTTTTTGAAAGAAAGATAATAGAAAATCGATTAATGTAAATCTTCTTTTTATCTAATGTTTTCAAAAGAAAGATTATAGAACAAAGCTTTGATCTTGAAATGAAATTGGCACTTTTTTATCCTTAAAATTTTTCATTTAGACAAAATTGGCACTTATTAATTTGAAGATCAATGCTTCAGACGTCATAAAATATGTTTTTTTTATTCATATGATCCTTTTTTCAGATGGGGAGGTTTTTATGTATATCCAACATGCCAGGAAAAAATAGTTATTTCACCCAACTAACCCTGATTCCAATTATTAACTCAGCAGTCGTTATAAGTAAGTATGAATAAAGCTTCTTGATCCAAAGTTTAATGTTTAATTCCAATGGTTTGGTTTTAGATAGTTTTCTGCTTAAATGTGTTTTAGGATCCAAATTAGACAAACTGAGTCTAAAACTAAAGGACGAAAAGTTCTGACTTAAATTTTAAGGTTTAGCTTAAATGACATTTCTCACTAAATTTAAACCTGTATTTTAACCCTGGGGTTAAATAATTAACTTGTCGATTTTTGCGAGTTAAAAAAAACCTGGAAACCCCGCATTCAATTGTGAGATATTGCATTCATAAAAATGATTCAATCTGACTATTTGAGTTTATAAATCTTTTCCCATTTTCTTGAATAACTAAAGACATCGTGTAATCCAAAATATATTTGAAAATTTGAAATTGAAATTATGAAATGGAACAGCTGATGTTGTGTAATCTCTGTAGATTCACAATTGTTGTAATTCTGATTGGTTGAAATTTCTCTCAGGAAATTTAAATTTAAATTTCACTATTTTTCAGAACTTTTCAGTTGTAACTTAGATTTCGCACATTCTTTAGTTTTTGACTCTGTATGAGATTGTTTATTTTAAACATGTGTTTTTCTTACTTAATGCCAAATTTTGACCCAGACAGAATTATAGGAAAAAATGATCAAAAAAACATTATAAAAAGATTGGTTTGGGATCTTTTTTTTGATTTACAATTTATCTAAGGATAAAAGTTTTGCAAATTTTAATAAAATAAAAACAGTTGTGAAATCTTGAAAATTTTATTAGAATGTTTCATCAACTGATCCATAACAATTATTAACTCCATAATATCTACAATCTAGTTCCCAGCGGTAATTTACTAGGCAGCATTTTGCCATGTAACAATTGACAAAGTTGCCATGGTTCAATTTGCCAGTTAACACTTTGCCATGAAACAAGTTTGCAAAGGGACTCTTTTGCCAGGGGGACCAATTTGCCTGGGGACTTAATTGTCAGGGGACCAACTTGTCTGGGGTCTAAATTGCAAGGGGAACAGTTTGCCAGGTGACCAATTTGGCAAAATTTTCTTCAGACAAAATTGACACCTGGCAATATTGTGAATTGGCATATTATTAACCTAGCAAATTAGTCACTTGGTAACGTAGACACATGGCAAAGAGTCAACTGGCAAAGTGATATTTTGTTACCTGTATTGTTTTAAATTTTTTTTCTTAAAAATGAACTTAAAGCTAAAAAAATCATAGTTTTTAAGAAAAAAAAACACAGATTAAAACTAACAAATTTTTAATTTTGCAAAACAAAAAACAAAACAAAGTTTGTGATATCCTCATGACTTAAGTTTTAAGTAAGATTTCCTTCTTATGTTTAGTGTGCCCCCTGCCGGCCAAAATAACAAACTTGCTTCAAATAATCAACATTTTCACATACCAGGTTTAATTTAATTCAATTTTAATTTTTCAGGATACAATTGAAATGTAGAATAATAGATGTAGTTTTAAAATATTAAGTGAATTTTTATGTCTGTTCTTAAGAACATATTTTAATGACTTATACCTTTGGTAAAATAAACGTAATGATTAATTTTCGGTAAAATTTAAATGGTTTTTTTAATTTACATTATATATGTCAAATTATGGCTATGAAATTTTCAGTAAAATACAGCCTATGGCTGTTCTTTTCTACAAATCAAAATTTATGGTTGTTGTTTTGTAAAAATAAAGTTTATGGCTTTTGTTTTAGAGAGTTAACAACTAGGTCTTGAGAGGCACTTCTTAAAGAAATCAGAGATACAGGGTGAGAGAGAGAAAAGTACAAACTAGAAAAACTTTAGCCAGGGGTGTATATGGGGAAAACCTCTTAACACACATGGAAAAGAAAAACGGGACTAAAAGAAACATTAAAGGCCTGCATTACTCTTTTAAAGCTGCATTAACCTGGAGAATGGAGAGTTTATACCTAGCTGGATCCAGATTTTGCTTTAAATATACTCATTAATAACAAGCCTGCTTAGCTATTATTAAGTATCCGAACTCGTCTGAAAGACAGTTATCCTTTTGATTGAATCTTGTTCTTTGAGTAAGCCACAAGGGAGCTCAGAGCCGTCAGATTCTTGCACAACTCTCTTCAGTTTCTTGTGGCTGAACAGAACCCTGTGTGGAATAACATGACAGTACATCTTACTTGGGAAAAAAAGAAAATAATATTGCAGAGAAGGAGGGGTTTCTCTCTCTCTCTCTCTCTCTCTCTCTCTCTCTCTCTCTCTCTCTCTTCCCAGAAACATGGAAAATGAAAAAAAAGAAAGTAGAACCCTGATAGGTTGTGCACCATTCACTATGATACCAGTTACTCTGCCGGCTGCAATGAAAAGATTGCAGTAGACGAGGCCATATTTTTAAGCACTGTGTCTGAGATGAACTTACAAGAATCAAGAATTCTTTTGTCAAAATATCCACTCCATTCCTAACCTAACTTATACCATATCTCGTTATTAAGGCCGAATTCTGAAAATGGATATCCTCAGAGTTTTCAAACCCTGCTTAGTGCAGTGACTTTTATTTTTTCCACCCTGTAAGAATATAATAAATATGTCTCCTGAGCTTTTCTTGTTAGTGAAGCATAGTCCCTGTGAAAGCTGTATCCTGAAATGCAGGAATGCCTACCCAGACCATACATAAACAAGAAGGAATAATCAGAATATAATCAGAGATTATAATACGTAGATCTAAAAGAGAAGAACAGAAAACAGATATTTAATCAGTTAAAAGAAGATACAATAGCCGGAGAATAACAAATCACTGTACTTTTAAAATTTTGTTTAAAAATTTCTTTATTTAAAAATAAATATTTTGAAAAAATTTTTAAAACCCAACATTTTTTCTTGGAGTAACTATATAGGTCTGGCTCTGTGTTATTGGTGGGACAGCTTTATCAATTGGAACCTTTTATACTTTGATAGTCATAGACTCTAAACTCTGCTCATATGGTAAACTTAAAAATAAAACTGTTGATAAAATTTCAAGCCACCCCTGAATCAAAGAGCACTGTTTCAGTTTTTCATTAGAACCCTGTAAACCTTTTATTACGGAAGGGAAACGATGAAGAAATTATTGATTTTCTATTTAAAACTGTTAGTTTTCTAAAAAAAAGTTAAAAACGAGGAACAAATGACATACTTCCCCAAACGTTTTACTTTTACCCTATATAATAATGTTATTTATGTACACCCCCCCCCCTCAGGACTCTTATAGGGTTAAATAGATTAACTGTTCCCAGAACGAATTATCAGTCTCACTGATGTTGTTCTGCATTTCTATGGATGCTACTTTTCTGAGCCGTTTCACGCCAATATAAGAAAAGGTAATTTTCAAGTAATCCTTTCTGCAAACTTGGCAATGTCTGATTCACAATTTAAAAAGATAATTACAAATGTCAACACTTCTTCTCAGAGTTACACCCTAATGAAAAGAGTTTGGGCCCCCAACGTAAATCCAGGGGTATCTAATGAGATGTTTGTGGGAGGTCTCGGATAGTACTCCAATCATGATGACTTCCAAGGATGTAATGCAAGGAAAGTTATTTCAGAAGTGTAAACATCTTTTGTACTGCAGTGTACTGTCTCTGGTCGGTAATGCAAACACAAGACAGATGTCAAAGCCTGACATGGGATCCATCTTTCACATAAAAAATCAATGAAATATTCTGGTCATAGCAAACTATTATGTGAATTATCACAATTATCCAAATTTACTGCTTTTACCCTCCTCGGATACTAAACGAACACTGCATCTATTCTTGTTTACAAATTCTGCCCAGAGAGAACTGGTCTCAATATTTATTCAGAGTATACGCGACAGCAATTAACTTTCCATGCATTACAATCTTGATGACTTCTACCCAAACTTTATACTGTGTACTTTGCTCCTCTTAAACAATTGGGATTTGTATTACAATTTCTATGTATTATGTGATTGCAATTTCTTTTGTTTTAGGGAAAAGATTTGTGCAGTGTTTCCAGTTCTTTTGGTTCCTCTGCACTTTGTTTATTGTTGCAGCCTGGCAATGTGATTTAAGGCAAGAAATCTAATATTTTAAAATATGGTTTTGTTATTGTGATCCATATAAATATAAATAGTAATTTCTGTTTGTTTGGATGTCCAATCATAACGGAGGAACCGATTTGCCTCAAACTTTGATTTGGAAACTTTGTAGAAGAATCGCGAAAGTGTTCTTAACTTGAATCACAAAATATAAGTTGAACTATGTAGAGAAAGTTTAGTTTTCAGGCAAAGCTGGGTTCCCTAGCTGGTATTGTGAAATAGATATTTTATAAACCAAGGTTCATTACTGTAAATAAAAGGTTATTTTTATGATTTGTTCAGTAAAATAAGAACAATTTTTATTGTTTTTTTTTGTTTTTTTTTTGATAACTTGAAACGAATTTGATCAACTAAATCTGTCAAATGCTGTTTCAAAAGAGTTGAGTTTAAGCCACAAACTCAGTGTTTTTAATCCCTATATCTTTGCATTCCTGATGTCATAAACCTTTGATATTTAAAACAATAAATTCTTTTAGAATAACAAGTTGTAGTTTGTAATATAAAAGTTTGTCACAATCAGGTTGTAAATATATAGGGATTAGAAAAATGGATTTTGTGACAAAAACTCAATTCCCATGAATGAAGTTCAGCGACGTAGCTCAACTTTATTTAATTCGTTTCTTGTTTAGAAGGAATCCTTTTATATTTCTTTTTCCAGGGCCTCTGAATATGAGCCAGAAATAACCTCACTCAGCCAGCTGGCAGACCAAACAGATTTTTTGGTAATATTAATGATGACAATGATAATAATGATGGTGATAAAAAGATAACAATGATAACGATGATAACAATGATAATGATGATAATGATGATAATGATAATAATGATGATAATGATGATAATGATGATAATGATGATAATGATGATAATGATGATAATGATGATAATGATGATAATGATGATAATGATGATAATGATGATAATGATGATAATGATGATAATGATGATAATGATGATAATGATGATAATGATGATAATGATGATAATGATGATAATGATGATAATGATGATAATGATGATAATGATGATAATGATGATAATGATGATTAATGATAAAATGATGATAATGATTATAATAATGATAATGATGATAATGATGATAATGATGATAATGATGATAATGATGATAATGATAAAATGATGATAATGATGATAATGATAAAATGATGATAATGACGATAATGATGATAATGATGATAATGATGATAATGATGATAATGATGGTAATGATGATAATGATGAAAATGATGATAATGATGATAATGATGATAATGATGATAATGACGATAATGATGATAATGATGATAATGATGATAATGATGATTATGATGACAATGATGATAATGATTAAAATGATGATAATGATGATAATGATGATAATAATGATAATGATGAAAATGATGATTATGAGGATAATATATTTTTTAGTTCCATCAAACTCAGGATTTTGCTTTTGAAGAGGTGCACAGCCAACAAGAAATAGATAAACTGAAGTAAGATTTGCTAAAAAAAAATCAAAATCTTATGAATTTTTAATTTTGTTAATTCAGGTCCCAGATGAGATATATTGAGCGTGAGTAAGTTGTTTTAATTTATAATTTCTAGGCTAGTATTTATGACTGGGAAAAGTTCTGTAAACTAAACCAAGGTTTTTGAAAAAAAAACAGTAGAGTTCATTAACTAATGGCAAAAATCGTTAATTGGTAAATCATTCCTAGAACAGATTAGCTGTTTATTAAAACAAAATTAATGGCTGAAAACAAAAACGAAACAAAGTTTTTTTCTTGGGAAAGAAGGATTGTTTGTCAGGAATAACGCCTAGCCCTTCCTTGTGTGCTTTTATCGCAATGTTGATAAACTGTTTAAATTACAGTGATGTTATGGATGTTGAAGAGATCATTGCAGAAGGTGCATGCTCTACCGAAGACCTGAATGATATGAAGTTTTATGTTTTTGAGCAGCAATTGATCACTGGAAGGGTACATTCTATTCTATTCTATTTATCATATTCTATTCTATTATACTTTATTCATTTCTATTTTATTTTATTCTTTTATGTTCTATTCTTTTCTTTTATATTCTGTTCTAATCTTTTCAATTGTATTCCATTCTATTCTATTCTATTCTATTCTTTTGTTTTCTATTCTTTTCTATTCTATTCTATTCTATTATATTCCATTCATTTCTATTCTATTCTATTCTATTCATTTATATTTTATTCTATTCTATTCTATTCTTTTGTTTTCTATTCTTTTCTATTCTATTCTATTCTATTATATTCCATTCATTTCTATTCTATTCTATTCTATTCATTTATATTTTATTCTATTATATTCTATTTAATTCTATTCTATTCTATTATAATCTATTTTATTCTTTTCTATTATATTTAATTTAATTCTTTCAAATTCTATTCTATTATTTTTTATATTCTATTTTATTCTTATCTAATTTGTTCTATTATTTTTCACCCTATTCTATACTAATATATTCTATTATTTCCATTCTATTCTTTTCTATTCTATTCTATTGTATATCTAATTTGTTCTATTATTTTTCACCCTATTCTATACTAATATATTCTATTATTTCCATTCTATTCTTTTCTATTCTATTCTATTGTATTCTATTTTGTTTTATTTTATTTTATTCAATTCTATTCTATTTCATTCTTTTCTATTTAATTCTATAATATGTTATCCAATTCTTTTTATTCTATTATATTTGAATCTATTCCATTCTATTATATTTTATTCTTTCTATTCTATTATATTATGTTCAATTCTTTCTATTCTATTATATTCTAGTCTATTTCATTCTGTTATATTTTATTCTTTCTATTCTATTATATTATGTTCAATTCTTTCTATTCTATTATATTCTAATCTACTCCATTCTATTATATTTTATTCTTTTCTATGCTATTTTATTTTGTTCAATTCTTTCTATTCTATTTTATTCTATTTATTTCTATTCTTTTATTTCTATTCTATTTAATTCTATTATATTTTATTCAATTATTTTTATTCTATTATATTCTAATCTATTTTATTCTGTTATATTTTATTCTTTTTATTCTATTATATTCTAATCTATTCAATTCTATTATATTTTATTCTTTCTATTCTATTCTATTCTATTCTATTCTATTATATTCTAATCTATTCCATTCTATTATATTTTATTCTTTTCTATTCTATTATATTCTGGCGTGGGGTCGTTTTCCTGAATTACAACCATGTGCACTTATGTACATTATTAAAATTAATTTTTTAAATAAAAAATAATGTGCAGTTTACAATATTATAATTGAACATTATTTAGTTTAAAAGATAATCTTCTCTCTGATTCAGTGAAATACAAACCATTTCCTAATGGAAAATCTTCTAAGTAGACAATTAACTAATGTTGGTATTTTTCAACAAATATAAGATTAATCACTATCTGGATTAACATGTTTAGTAAAGGATAGAAAAAAAAAATCAATATTTCCGTTAAGGTTTTGTGATAAATGTACAATTCCAACACCTAGTTAAAAAAAAATCAAATGAAAAAGTTGCAATTCCCAAATTAGTCTTGTGTCGTATTTTACCCAGTATTTAAATTAAAGGCGCAGAAAGGTATGAGATGAGCTTCCAAATTGACCCCTGGTTAGGGTTAAATGAAATAGAGGACTTTAGATGCCTTTTACCTTGTGTTTATTTTATTAGCTTACTTGACCAAATTCTACAAGTACTCAGCTTTCTCACAAAACCAAACTTTTCAATAAATTTTTCCTTTTTTTGAGAGGGGAGGGTATTCCATAAATAAATACACTGTAAATATACATCAGCAACATTGTTTAAAATTTGTTTCTTAATCTAATTTTTTTAATATAATATTCAAAAATTATGTTTATTTGAAAACTGAAAATATTTTTTTCCTTTTATTAAGTTTTTTGTAAAAGATATTTTTTTTCAACAAATGAAAGTTGAAAAATTACAAAAATAGTGGAAAAACATATTCATTCATTGTTGATTAAAAATTAACTTATTTTGACATTGATTTGTAATTTTTTTTAATAAATAGCAGAACAGGTAGTTAACTGATTAGTTTAGTTCACTTCTGACTTCAGTGAAAACTACTGTTATAAAAGCTCGACAATTGTGAAGAAACATATCTCAAGAACTGTCGAGGGTGAACCCAGACTGAAACATATTTTCAATAAATGTGGAACTAACATCTACTTTTTTACTCCACAGAGGTTTGGTCCATCAACATCACCGAATTTTAAATCGCTCAACAATTTTGAAGATATGCTGTCCTAGCTGCACCACTGACATATAAAGAAGATAAAAACGAGTTTTTTCAGTGAATGTATTAGTTGTTAGTTTCTTTATTTCCTAATAAATATCACATTTATTGGTAAAACAAGTTAGCATCAATCATCATCAGCACATGAATGAATAGTGTTGTACTTGTGAAATAATACAGTGGTGTGATAATACCAAGACAATGGTTTAAATTTAATTTATATCGAGCTTTATAACAGGCTTTTAAACGACTTCTCTTTAATTACATGTAACCTTGAAATTCAGAAAAAAAGTTTGTTAACAATAAAACTTGAATTAAAAAGTCGTCTCCATTATATTGATATTATCGCCTACTACTGTATCTCATATTATATTATTTATTTGATTTTCAAATCACAATTTAATTATAGTTATATTATAAATTTAATATCAAATACATGGTATTTCATGTTATTAAGTATGAAGTATTTCAAAGAATTTTTATATTTACTGTATGTTATAATTTTTTTCCTCAGTACAAAAAGTATAAATAATCTTTTCTACAGTAAATGCGCCCAAAATGGATGTGATAAATTTAGAACCAGTACAACAAGGGTGGGGCTGTAGGGAAGGAGGGGGGACGGGGATAGGAGAATGTCAAATGCCATTTTGTACTGTTTACGTACTTATTCAATAAATCTTATTTAATTACCAATTTGTTTTTTTCTGTTTGTGTTTTTATTTAATTAACTTCATATATGGATAATTAATGTGGAAGTTTTTTCAAATTAATCAAAAAATCTGATAAGTTTATCCAGAAATCATGATTCGAGAGCTGCCGCATTTGGCCACTAGGTGGTGTCTACTCTAAAATAGAGGTGGCGCGAATATGTATCCTGAAATTGTTATATTTTTATCCACTTTTTCTTAATAATAATGATTTGCATTATTAACAGTTTTAAAAATATTGTTCTGCATTCAGTTTTTCTTATAAAAATAATAAAAAAATGTGGATTTTTTTTATTTTTGCTGTTTTCAAAATATTCATAAATTAGTTATAATTTATTAAGAAAAACCTCTGTGATTCGCTTTTCCAAAAATTCTTTTTTTTTATTACGTTTTAATATTTACAGTGTAACTTACTAATACAAAATAACATTTTTTGCTTGTAAGGTAATAACAAAAGTTACTGAATCCACCGCTACTTTTGTTCCTAAATCTTTGTATGGTTGGTTGTATAAGAGGGATGGAGATTTTATAGAAACTATTTATAGGTTCCTAGCTAAACTTAAAGATTCAGGTAATTTTAAATTCCACATTCACTGCTTGATTTTTTTAAAACATCATTGCAGTGGTTTCTAATGGATATAGGAGGTTATTTTTGAATTTTAAATCTTTTTTATCCTGATTAAAATCCGACACCCCTCTGGAGTTGGGGGGGGGGGGGGGGGATTGGTTTTTGTCATAATATTCCTTTTAAAATGTAGTTGCTTTGAATTTTATGGTGAGAATGTATTTGGAAATCTTTTTGTTTAAAAATTTTCCATCAATTGTATCTTGTATTAATTTATAATGATTTCAGTTTATAATTTATTATCCATTACAAATGTTTTATAGAAGATGTAAAAAACATATACTTTATAGCTTTTTTACAAGAAATTACAACAGATTTATAATAATCCAATTTAGGGCGTTGCAAGCAAGCCCAAGTATTTGTTTTGTCTCTAATTTTTTATAAAATACATAATTTAGAGGTTTTCACAGAAATGGAGAGTAAATATAATCGGATTTTAGAACTTTAATGCAACATTACTTTGAAAAAATACTTAAGCGGCCGAGCCTTATTTGACTTTAACAAGAGGTTTATAGTATAAACTCAATAATGTNACTACTGTTCCTCTCTCAGACTTTACACTAGAGGACCATTTATTTCTATTTTAGGAGTTGACATATTCATTGAACGTGAACACTTTGGAAGAGCTCTTAAAGTTTATGAAACTCAATCAGTACCTCTTCCACTGACTCTAGAGAGCTTTTATTTAACCTTTATTCTGTACACCCTGGGACTAGTGGTTGCAACAACTGTATTTCTTTATGAAATGTATTTCAAGAAAATCTAGAATTTTGGATTATAATAAATACATTTCAAAATGGATATTTTTTCGTTAATGATGTACAATTTGCATAAAGATTTATAATTCACGTTAAAAATTTTTTTTAACACAGTGTGAGTGGGACAATGTGAGAAATTAAAAAAACTGAAATTTTTTTTTTAAAGATTAACAAACATTTAATGGGATCATTGAATGTTGATATAATTTTCCATGAGAAAAACTCAAATATGACATGGTGTCATATTTGAATCAAGAGGAATCTTTTTGTTCATGCTTGATTAGAGCAGAGTAGGATTTATCATACTGTGGGGACAGGGCTGTTTAGTGGAGAGGGAGAACTAGAGATAAATAAATAAACATGGATAGCTGATGTATGCAAAATCACCAAGGTTTGTACAGTCCGCGAACTCATACTTCTAGGGGTCAAAGTGTACTTCAATGATAGGCAGGGTGGTTTGGTGTTTTCATGGATTTCATAATTTAGTGTAAAATAACTCCGGGAATGGAACTATTTGAACAAAAATATTTCACTGAGCAATATCTCATATTGACGAGAACTGAAGAAGGACATGAGAAGGACTAACCTAACAATTGAATTTCTCTCTACAGAACTCATGTACACCACAAGTACTCAATATCATAAAAACAGCCAATGTTCACAACCAACCTAGTTAATCTATATAATAGGAATATCTTTAAAGCATCTCTGTACATTTATATCTTTCAAGATGAAAAATGTTGTCTTAGGTGCAATCTATCTTTATCTATGGAGAACTATAGATAAATAAATAATCTATGGGGAGAACTACTTTGGAAGAACAACCATTGCTGGTATCCTGTATACTATTAAGTCCAGTTTATTTCAAGAACTAGACCAACATCTAACAAGGGCTGGGCAAGTTCCAACTATTTCTAGCCATTTTGTTAACGGTTAGTTCCAACCATTAAAAAAAAGAAAAACTTCAGGTAGCCGTTAGTTTAAAGGTAAGAACCAAAAGGTTATAGTATATAGACTATAGAGTGATGATGTACAATAATCCTTTACTAATTGTACAGGCCATGTACTTCACTTCCAAAGGTCAATCTGTATATTACATTACTCAGGGGTGATTTCTGGAAATATTTAAATGGAGAATTTGTTTTCTATGTAACTTTTAAAATCCACTACTCCTTTATCGTGTGCAGGATTCCATTTTCACAGGAAGACTTACATTTACATCCTTTTTACAGAGCAATATTTCATCATTAATAAACAGTTCTGAGAAAACTTAGTAAAATTCAAGATACAAAACTTGCCAATACACTTGTACTCCGAAAGCATACTGCATATTTGATATTTTGTACTGTATGAATATGCCATAATCTCTTAATATCCTTTATCAGTAAACTATTCCAAGTGTACACTCAGGCTAAAACACACGTAGAGGTAGCTAAGATCCAGTCTCCCTGATAATATCCATAAGTTTCAACATTTTTACTTAATTTTTTTAATTTTTGAGTTTTCATAAACCTAGACTATGCACATTATGTATAGATTAAACTGTACTGCATATCTGTTTGGATTCAGTACCAATGTCCATTTTCTGTACATAATGATTATTTTGTTTTAGTTATTTATTTAGTGACTTCTTTTCCTTTTATTTAATATTTTTAAGACCTTTTTGGTGTTGATGGTTCAGGTTAACTAGTAACAGCTTTCCAAATAACAAATATTATAGTCTACAATTGCCATCACATATTTAACTGTAAGTAATGGCCAATAAAGCTATAAAAATTCAAAGAATTTGCCCACAGAGCTTTGGATCAGAAGTTAAGAAATTCAGTTCAGCAAAATCTAAATATCTTGTACTAATCTTGGAGAGAATTTCAACAGATTATTCATGTTCTGAATCAGCCCTCCTCCAAAAATTACTAAATTAGTCAGCTATTGTAGACTTTAATGTTAGCATAGTGCATAGATGGTAGCACTATCTCGGTGCATATTTATATGTCATATTTATCTATTAAAGTGCAAAAAAATGACAAACATAGATAGTCAGAGCTTAAAATTTCCTCCTAGTCTAATTGTTCAAGCATTCATTGATAAAAGTATTCCACATTTGTATATTCTTCATCTATGTGTGCTCCTGCGGTCAAGCAAATATTTGTATATTTTTCATCAATTATTATTTTACTCATCCACCTTTGCCAAATTGATTTTAAAGTTTTGAATGATTGCTTCATTATTTTTGCTCTTTTGCAAGGAGACCTTAGATATTTCAAACTATGAATTCTGTTAGCTCAAAGTATCTAAGTTTGAAATATCAAAGGCTAACAACATCAGGTTGCTGAGATATTGGAATTCGAAAATTTAAGTTTGTGGCAAAAACTCTATTCCTTTACAAGTACTCAATGAATGAGAGTGAATAAAATGGAAATCATTGCTTGATCAGGAGATTCACAGCAATAAAGTTCTAACTTCTAATCATATAATTAACACGAAACAAATTTCATCTTATTCTATTGTAGAAGCAAATAATACAACTTATTAAATGGACTGTGAGCATAATGTCAAGTGACACTCCGTGCAAAGATGGCAATGCTCGATACACAACAGTACAATATAAACCTTTATCTGATCAATAATGTGGAAGATATTTCTCTTTTCTAGGTTTACAAATGTTTATTCATAAATGTTTTCTCGCAACAGAAATGTGCAAGTCCCTTTTAAAGTGAAAACAATCATTTTCCAAAATTAAACATTGAAATCTAGTTCATTTGAGAGGTCGTTAAACTACCTAGTACAGCTGCTTTAAATTACAATGCAATTAATTACCTAAATCTTTATGAATCAGTGATTCAAGATTTGAACCGGCGGTAGGTAGTTCAACGACCTGTTATAACTTATTAGATCCGGTTCCAGAAATATATATTGATACATATATATTTCAGTTTATTGTACTTGGCTGACGTCTGGTTTAACCAAAATAGTCTGATGGTTTCCTTATTGTGATAATTAGGAATTTTTTATGTTATCAAATTTTTAATTTTATTCAAAGGAGACCACTTACCCCCAACATTTAAAAAAATCATATTATCAACAAATATCAAAAAAACGCAAATCTTAGAAACGTAAATGATTTTTTTTAAATTGGACTGCTTCCTCCTCGCAATTTTCCTAAAATATGGTATAAAACGTCACTTTTCTAAGCTTGCAAAAGAGCAAGTGCTTTAAGCTAATAACATAATAGAAATATTTGAAAATTTACCAATAAGAATAATTTATTGTGTATTTCAAATTTCAAATTTCAATTCTAACGTATTTATTTAATTAACAGTTGAAGTTTTCTTGAAATACATTTCATAGAGAAATATAGCTGTTGCAGCTACAAGTCCCACAATGTACAGGATAAAGGTTAAATAAAAGTTCTCTAGAGTCAGTGGAAGAGGTTGGGATTCAGCTTCATAAACTTTGAGAGCTCTGCCAAAGTGTTCTTTTTCGATAAATATGTCAACTCCTAAAATAGAAATCAATATGACATGCAAATATTGGATATGTGAATTATGCCTCTGCCACCAGTTCAAATCCTGAATCATCAATTACATGAGGATCTAGGTAATGAATTAGACAGAGGGTTGGTAATTCGGGATTTGACCCGGCAGTTCAACGACCTCTACAATTTATTAAATCCAGTCCAAGTTCTAATTATTTTACAAATATGTGATTGGTTCTATATATTTCTAAAGTTATTGGGAAAAGGTTGTTTTTTGAGCAAATACTTAGTAAGTAAGCATTAATATTTGTTTGTTCATAAACAGCTTTTTATAATTTTAAGTTAGTAAGTAAAACAAAAGTTGTCATTCATGGTTTGATAAGTGCAAAACATGGTCCAATGTAAGGTTATCTAAGGTCTAACATATGATTGTCACAATAAAAATTCCAATTTCAATAATACACTGACATGATCATAAATCCAATACAACAATCTTCCATGAATATATTTGTTTACATTAATCAATATAAATGTTTATTCAAAATTCTTAGATTTATCTGTCGCTACTTTTTGCCGCCAGGTGATGCAGCTTTGGCGGCACTATAATGTGGCGCCCTGACATTTATAATGTTAAAAAATAGTCTAGACAAAATAATTCAAATATCAATCCTGATATAACACAGATAGAAATATAATATTACTGCAAGTCAACAATATGGTATACAAAAAAATAGAAAAATGCAATTAAGAATACAAATTGAAGAAATCAAAATCTAGTCCAGATTAGTCTAGGGTACTTTCACAAAGGCTTTTTCCCAAGTGGCAACTCACCTAGGGTAGTTTCACTTTTGGCAACTTGCCAACTGTTCAATTTCCCAAGCAGCAACCTCCCAAGTCTGTTCTAGCTGCAATGCTCGTCCCCCTAGCCTGTTCAAGTCCCAGCACTTGTACCCAAGCCCTACCTAGCCATAGCCCTCGGCCCCTATGGCAGCCTGCTTTGCCTCAGAAGACCTAACCTAACCTTTGGGAAGTTGCTTTTGGGAAATTGCACATTTGGGAAGTCGTCCTTTGTTGAAATGCTATCAGGGTGATGCATCAATGTGGTTTACAATCTACATCTGCAAGTACCTGAATCTTTAAGTTTAGCTAGGAACATCTGAATAGTTTCTGTAAAATCTCCATCCCTCTTATACAACCAACCATACAAGGATTTAGGAACAAATATAGCTTTATAATCTGAAGTCAGGCTCACGGATACACTCACCTAAACATTAGTAGGACTATAGGGTCAAATTGAATTCAAACTGGACCAACTCCTTGTACCATTCTGACCAACCCGCTGCATGTATTGATTCACACCCTACCTAGGGATGTTAATGTTTTCATTTTTCAGAAAAACGATCGTTTCATTATGAAAACGACGACGAAAAATCGAAAACGAAACGATCGTTTTTTTAAAAAGTTCGTTTTGTAAAAATGGTCGTTTTTAAAACGATCGTTTTTCAAAACGCTCGTTGTGAAAAACGATCGTTTTGAAAAACAATCGTTTTGAAAAACAATCGTTTTGAAAAACAATCGTTTTTTTAAATTCGTCGTTTCGTTAACGATCATTAACGACGACCCTTTGTTAACGATCGTTAACAACAGACCTTTGTTCATGATTGTTAACGACGACCTTTTGTTAACGACAACCTTTGTTAACGATTGTTAACGACGACCCTTCGTTAACGATCGTTAATGACAACCCTTTGTTAACGATCGTTAACGACGACCCTTTGGTAAACCATCGTTAACGAAGAGAGGAAACCGACCTGAAGAGCATCTGTACTTATCATTGAGTAGTTTTTAAAAAAATATCAAGGAGTTTTAACTCCCCCACAACTGTTAAACTTCATGTAAAATGACATTCAATAAAGTTGCATGTAATTTTTTTCCAAAAACGACCGTTTTGATAAAGTTTGTCGTTTTGTTAACGATCGTTAATGATGACCTTTCGTTAACAATCGTTAACGACGACCCTTCGTTAACGATCGTTAACGATGACCCTTTGTTAACGATCGTTAACATAATTGTAAATAAAATTTTTTTTCAAAAATGATCGTTTTTTAAAAACAATCGTATAAAAAACGGTTGCAAATCGTTTTAATAAAACGATCGTTTTCAAAAACGATCGCTATTCGTTTTCTAAAAGTTCAAAACAAATGGGTCGTTTATAAAAACGATTGTTTTTTCCAAAAACGAAACTATCGTTTTTGAAAACGAAACAAAAAACGATCGTTTAACGATCGTTTACAAAAACGATTAACAACCCTACCCCTACCCTATGTCAGTCTCAAGGATCTTTACAAAGGTTGGTTACTCTTGATGCGCTCCAAGGTACAAAAAATGTTGTCTCCTCAGCATAGATAGACAGAATCCGTATGTGACATCACTGATTAAAGATTATAGATGTTCAAATATTGTAATGAAAAAAGTGCTTAACCTTTCCAGTTGTAAGTTGTTGGTTTGTGACGAGATATTTCATATCATTCAAATCCTCAGATGAACAGGCTCCACTATTCACAATATAGTCCCCAGATTCACTGTCACTGATACACATTATCATAGTTAAAAGAATAAAAAAATGAAAGACAAACATTTTTACAGATCTGTGTTCGAATTTAATGAATTTAAGCTGCGTCTCAATTCAACCAACAACCGGTTTCAATTGATCGTCGAATTAAATCTTTAAAAACTTAATACAATTTTAAGACGAACCAACCATATTTGAGCCGCAGTTTAAATTAAAGCCGCCGCTCAAATTCTTTAAATTCGGCCTCTGTCAACACAATAAAGTTATAAAGTGACCCTCCATTAGAACAGATGCATATCAATTTCACAATTGTACCTTTTATACCTTTATTTAAGCAAGATTTTGAAGTTTTTATGTTTAGTGATAATTTTAAAGTTGTGTTTCTCTAAAAAAGCAATATGCAAATTTATGCAGAATGACAAAAAAGGAAATTGTCAGGTTGTGAATCTGGCTCTTTCATTTACGTTGATATTAATTAATTCACTGTCATTAAAAATCTCACATTCTCAAGCAAAAATCTATGAGAAATTTGCCAATTACTTTTCAAAAACCAAACCTGACAACAAGTGGGTTATAGTGCTAAAATGTACATGTAAAGGGCTACATAAAAGCATAAGTGAGTTAAAGCAGTATGATCAAAGCCCTCGCTATTGCAACACTTCAAAGTTGACCCTGTCTTAGAAATTGATGAGACTGTTAATAAGCAGGCTAAATCCTCTTCACATGAACCACCTGACCCAACAAAGCAATAATTTCTTACTTTCGTACAATATATCTCTGTTCGGCCCTGAAATTATTAGATTGATGTTTGAATTAATTAATTGTTTGGGTAAATAAAAAACATAAATTTAATCTTTTTTAATTTATTCATAATTATTTTTTTTATATTTTTTTATTACTTGAGTTTGTCGATTTCTTTCTGGCTATGGATTTCTTCAAACATAAAGTCTCTAGTTTGATGCAGCTTAACATTATTATCATTATCATCATTATCATCATTATCATCATTATTATCATTATCATCATTATCATTATCATCATTTTTATCATTATCATCAATATCATCATTATCATCATTATCATCATTATCATTATTATCATCATTATCATCATTATCATCATTATCATCATTATCATCATTATCATCATTATCAACATTATCATCATTTTTATCATCATTATCATCATTATCATCATTATCATCATTATCATCATTATCATCATTATCATCATTATCATCATTATCATCATTATCATCATTATCATCATTATCATCATTATCATCATTATCATCATTATCATCATTATAATAATTTACATAATTTTCATCATTATCATCATTACTTTCTAGTTCTTCAAAGAAGGTAATGGTCAAGGGGGGAGCTAATGTTTTGTGTCAAGAAACTTTTGTGTAAAAATTAGCCTTAAGTTTAAAAAATATATTTAATCCAGTTTTGTTGTATTTCTTCAACTAACATTTTGCAATTGATTTTATATTTTTTTATTTAATTTTAAGAATGGGACGTTTAAAAAGTTTGGTTTTCAAGGTATTGTATCTGAATTTTATACAAATTGACTTAGAAATTGTATATTTATGGCATTTATGTGCAAGACATTCACTCTGCAAAAGCTTACCATAATATCTAGTGAAATACTTCCAATTGTTTCAATATTTTTTAATTAAAACTAGAATTTTTTTCAAGTTTTTGCCAAGTTTTAAGATGGCAAAATATCACAAGAAAAATTTGTTATGGTAATTTTGTTAGTTTGATAAATCTCTCAATAAAGAAAGTAAAACTCATCAACTTTGCATTTTCGAATTTTATTTTTTAATCTAGTACCACAAAATTTGATTTGTCTGCCATCTGGGCCATAGAAGATATTTCTGGTTCATATTCAGTTGCCATCAGGTTTGCCCTGCACAAACAAACCTTTTGATTTACCCTAGAATCTCATTTTCATCACATTGAAATTTCTTGATTATTAATAGATATAAACTTAAAGGAAATTTGCATTTTTTTTTTTAGTGCTAGAGTTGGCTAATTATGAAAACTGAAAGGAATTTTGTTATTAAAAAATACAGATCTAAAATTTAAACTTTTGATAAGCCTTTAAAATGGATGCAATTTTTACTTTTTTTTTTTACTTTTTTGCTGATTTACAAAATTTTCTAGTAGTGGAAACATTAAAGTCAGCAATTCTTTTTCAATGGGCTTGAAAATTGAAATATGATCAACATCTTACTGTTTTTGTGAAGGGGCAGACATCCTCTCAGTGCCCTCCCCCCCCCAAAAAATAAATAAAATTGACACTTTTAATTTTGTATTTTTGTGCCTCCAACTTAAAAATGAAAAATGTCCCAGAAAAATGTTGTTTTCCTTAAACACTTGCCTTAGGTCACATTGCCAGGCAGCAACAATAAAGAAAGTATAGAGCAACCAAAAAAACTGGAAACACTGCACAAATCTTTTCCCTAAATCAAATCAATCTTAAAAGTATTAATTTTTTCCTTCTATTTTGAGAAGTTTTAAAAGTGAATCTGTTAAACATTTAATGATAAACAAAAATTGAAAAAAAGTACCTTTTCTTAATCTGCTGGTTAGGGGTTCTTGAAAGTACGCGCCAAAGAAGTACAAAAAAATGTTAGGAAGGGATATATTCATATCTGAAAATAGTTTACTTATTTTTACAGTCCTCAACTGTTTCATGAGAATAACAAGTCTTTCATATATTGTCTTTCATGTGATTGTCTTTTAATGTTTTCTTTTTTATTGTGTTGTATGGTCTCCAGTCGTAATTATGTTGCGTGAATTACTTGTAAGCGTAACAGTTTCTATCACTTAGGCATGAGTATTACACTAAATAACGCATTAGTTATGCTTTTTAAAATAGCCTTGTTTCTCGTAATAAGTGTGTAATTACTTGTAATAACATAATACGAAATTGATCAGTATCAACTCCCTGGTATCACTTTTGGGTCAAAGAGCCAAACCCAGTCCCCAATCTCGAAATTTGATAACATGGGAGCATTTCTCTTTACCAACTCTTGCTGTTTCTCTCTCAAGCCAGCATAAGTAGTTTAAAACCTTTCTTGCATTGTCTCCCTCTAGGCTAATAATGCCATCTATCTGTATATACCCAGTGTACTGGAAGTGTAGCTTCACATCCAAATGAAGCGAAAAATGGGGTCTGTCCTGTACTTGTATGAACCATCATGTTATAGGTCAGACAGGTCATTTTCACTCCCAGATCACATTCATTTTGCATCTAACTGCCCATGGTACACAAAATACTCATTATCCTTCTATGCCATTGCTAGATAATATTAGAGGAGGAGTTACAGGGCGAGGTCTTAATATTCAAAATTAATCAATTCCAAAAACAGTTCTTGCCATAATTGATTGGCAAATTCAATACCATTACCAGGATGGATTTTATTTGGCAGTCCAATAACAGTGAATTTTCACATACAAACACTGTAACTACAGTGTTGGCCTCTTTATTACAAATCAGATATGCACTGCCAAATCATTTGAATTCTTTGTGCATGGGAATAATAAATAATGATTTTTTCTCATTGTTTTTCATAATGTTACAAGATCAATAAATAATATCTCACTTAAGTTTCCAACAGTACTGGGCTCGTGAGGGCGCATCTTGGCTTTGATGCTCCTCTCCTTAGTTAGACAAACATCACAACGTTCTACCAATCTACAAATCTTGTCACATGCAGAAAGTACAAAAAATATCCTCTGGAATTTGTCTAATGTTCTGTTCACTCCTCTGTGTCCAGTGGTATCATCACACAAACTGAAACCTTTCTTTAGTTTTACATCCAGTATACATATGCCTGAATTTTCCCAGCTGTGAACTCTGCCTTTAACTATTGAAAATCATTTTCCATGTCTTCAGATCACTCAAAACATTATGTCTTCTTCATAGAGTTCATATGATTTCTGATGTGAACGTAAGAAATAAGGTTTGGCCAGTTCTGTATATCAGGTACATAACTGTCTAGCATTTGTACACCTTCCTTGACCACTTTGTTCAAGTTTTGTCTTGAAATATCTTGGTTTTCTTGGGTTGGATCTTGAGTCCTGCCTTGATTTGTGCTTGTACTACTTTTCCCTAGTGTTCTAAGCGTGCCAAGGTATCCATAGAGTACATGAGAATGTCATCTAGGTATGATAATCAGTAATCTTAACCCAATAGTGACGAGACAAATAATTCTTTCTGATCTTGCTGAAATTCACAGGGTTAACTCATTATACTATCCATAGAGTAGATCTAAAGTTTCAATTTTTTTCAATGAAGGGTTGTGGAGATACAAAACCCGGCACATTTTGTCCGTCTCGGCATCGGTCAAAATTGACTGCCCGGTCATTTTTGACAGTCTGCAGCAGGAAACGGTCAATTTTGTCCGTCTCGGCTCGGACAAAATTGACCGGGCAGTCAATTTTGACATATGCCGAGACGGACAAAATTGACCGGCTCTTTATCTCTACTAACCTTCATTGAAAAAAAATTGAAACTTGAGGGGGGGGGGGGTGTTTATCATATATACAGGGGTGTGTAAGTACTAAACAGGGTGTGTGTATATTTACTACACTAGGGGGTTTATATATACTATACAGGGTGGAGGGGTATATTTACTATACAGGGGGGTATATATATACTATATGGGGGGTGTATATACTAAATGGGGGGGTGTAATTGTACTATACAAGGGGGGTGTATATATGCTACACAGGGGGGGGGTGTATATACTTTACAGGGAGGGGGGTGTATATACCATACATGGGGTGGGGTGTGGGGTGTAGATATATACTATACAGGAGGGTGTGTGTGTAAATATACTATATTGGGGTAGGGTGTATACCGCACAGTGTGTGCCTAAAAACTGGCATTTCGACAGTGCAGTCAAAATTGACCTGGTCCGAGACGGGCAATTTTGACCGGGCAGAAAAAAAGGCTAAAAAGAGCAGTAAACATAAACTTTTTACACTGAACGTAACATTAGCATAGAACTAACATCAAATGCAAACTTTTTATAGAAATATAAAAGTTTTGCAAAACATTTTTCACAGATTTATATCTGTTGGAGTTGGAGGTTCCTGAATTTGAATCTCTCCCAATTGTTGCTAGCTGTTCTATCACCCTATCGACCTGTAACATGCCTGCAACCTATAGGCGATACTCGGCATATCTAAAGGAAGGGTGGGAATGAAACAGGACGACATTTAGTTTAAAAATGAAGGCGCTAAAAAATAAAAACCTTACCCGGTCAAAATTGACCGTCTCGTCACTAATGGGTTAAGGCAGATGAGCTAAAGCTAGGTCTAACATCCGGCTACACACACTTCTGGCATTAGACCTAAACATACCCCGTGTCTACTTCCTTTTTATTCACCGCTTGTACTTCCTTCCATAGTGCTTTCTGTTTCGGCATCTCTGTTCCATAGTGCAACCTCCATGTGCTCCATTTTCCGCATCATCACTTCTAAGTGGTTATCTTCCTCCATATCTGAGTCGTCACTTGGTAGTGTAGGGTATACACTATATGTTTTCACTGTATCACTTGTTGCAGCAATGCTTTGCATCTGTTCTGTAAGTCTCAATTTCCCTTTAGGTATATTTTCCCTTGCTAGTGTTTCTCTTGCTATACTGTTAAAAAATGATTTTACTGGACTCTTCTTTCTGAACTTCTAAGTTTCTGGCATTTAGCTTGAGTTCATAGATCCCACCTCTGCCACCACATTGTAGATAATGCCTAAACTCCTCTTAGTCTGTATCAGCCTAAATGCACTATCACAAACTCTGTGCTCTCTATATATCCAGATTTATATCCTCCGTAAATAGCAAGAGTCTGTGTTGAACTGTCTATATTTAGGTATAAAAAAATTTGAGTGCTAGGGTCAATGAACTAAAGAACATATTTTTACAGGTTACAAAGATATAAATGAAATAGGTTTTATTTACAACACATGTAGTAAACTATATAAAAATTGTTGCAGATTTTTGCCTGTAAAAATCATAACTTTGAAGTGTATTTTAAGCAATAAACTATATCTTATCTTATCTTATCTTATCTTAACAATGTTAAGCTTCATACTGTGAAAGTATAAAATAATGAAAATGGGTCTTTCACAAACAATGAACAAACAAAATTCAGAAAAGCTGCATGCCCATCTCTCAATCCTGTCAATATTCCAGTTACTTAAATTATTGTACGAAGGGTTCCGACTTCCGATGTTTCTTGTTTAGGTTAGGTAAAAATTTGAAATTTTCCAAAAAAGTAATTTATACACTTTTTTTAATTAAAATTGTACGAACTGTTGACAAGCAGCTAGTTAGTTTACTTAATTGTCCCAAAGAACGTTTTGTTAACGTTCCACTAATGTGGAATCATGGGTCGGAAATGGTGGTCAAAATATGATTGAATAATATCGTAAAAGATACCATAATTCAACAAGGTTGAATCTAAGAACAGCAATAAGTAAAGGAATAGAACAGATAGAACAGTTGCTCCAAAAACTGCCAGCCAAACCTTTATTTAACAAAAATTTGTAAAAACTAGTTTTTGAAGATATTTATTTCAGATAAAATAGCTAAAAATGACAGGGGACATATTTTCATAGTTGAGATTTCTCAGACAATTTAAATAGTCGATTCATTTAAAAGTACAAAGAAGTCATGATTACTGAATTAAAAAGGTGATAATGTTTAATTTTGAGATTAAGGTTTAAACAGGTATGACTGTGAACCAGGCATGCACAACTTCAATAACAAGATTGCTTGAAATATCATTAAATGTATGTCAGTTTAACGATAAAAATTATGGAAAAAAATAAATTTTCGTTTTCAATTTACATAATTAAAATTTACCCGAAATGTGAATATATTGAGAATCTGCATCATGTTTGTTAATTTAGCTGGTAGAGGGCAAACTAAAAATTTATATCATGTTAGTTAATTTAGCCAGCAGAGGGCACACTAAACATTAATATTATGTTGGTTAATTTAGAACGGAAGAGGGCAAACTAAACATTATATTATATTGTGTAATTTAGCCGATAGAGGGCAAACTAAACATTTTTATGAAACTATTATGTACTTTATCATTCTTCCTCACATCATTGTGAATTTCATAATGAAGGTGCTATAAAGTTGAATTAGCTGTACATTATAGCACATGTGCTATTTAGTTTTGATTGGTTCCTGGATTTTCGCCAAAAAATGCATGATATTTCCAAAACACTTTTTTTCAATCCAAATGAAAATTAAATTGAAGTAAACTTTCTATTCTTACTTCTGCTTTATTTTAAAGTTTATTGGATTTTAAAATAGCCATCGAAATAAGAAAAGTGCACAAATGTTTCATAAAATCACCTTTAACACTATTATTTTGGACTTAAATTTTCTCTTTATCTCAAAGGTTCTAGCCTTTTTAGATTATATTTAGTCACTCGCTAAAGCTCTGGACAAAATTAAATCTTCGATCTTCATGAAAGAAAATTTCTGTCTAAAAACTTTATAACACAACAAACCAAAATAACAGTGTTATAAATAGTTAATATCATTTTGAGTAATTTAGCCAGTAGTGGACAAACATAACATTTATATCACTTGGTTAATTTAGCCGCTAGAGGGCAAACTAACATTTATCTCATGGCATCCCTAAGGCTGATAGTGAAAGTGAATTATCAGATTGGACGGAAACTATACAAGAACGTTTTCAAACAACCGTATCCAGCAATGAGAGAAAAACAACACGAAGCAGTAAGGAGAAATGCCCAGTATTACAAGCCCCTGTTAAATTGGTTTGAAGCGGGGCAATGGGTCTGGATCTTTTACCCACATGTAATCCCAGGCAGTTGTCATTACTAGGCAGGGCCACATGTAGTGATTTTAAACATTTTAAAAGGATTCAGGGGTAAAAATGATGTGCATGGTTTCCCAAGTGAATAGACCTGGCTCAAACTACAGTTGTAGAAAACAGAGATACAGTGCGTTTTCTGTAACTAAGATAGAATTGGACTGGCATTTGTGACACTTCTTTTTTGTCTGTAAGAAACTAATCTTTAAAATATCAATTTTTAAATAAAGAAAAAAAGGATATCTCATACTTCTTGATAATAACAAAAGTGAAAAGGGTCCAATGTGAATCAGACATGCTGCAATCTTTTTAAATTGAAGTGCACTGTGGTCTAAAAGTAGCTTACTTAGTGTAACTCCAGAGTTTATGATTGGAATCAGATTCACTTTAGAGAAATATTCGCCTTTTCCAGATCCATAGTACAATACATTGGCATGTTCGATGTACATAAATACCTCCCCATCTGCCAATTAAACATTTGGATTTGTAGCAATAACTAGAAATCTCTGGAATAAGAAGACAACATAGCAACTTCAGAATGTAAATAGACCCATTTCACTTAGTAAGTTATTTTATAAGTTACTTGAAGTAAAACTATTTTCTTTGAAATAACATCAAATTCACTTAATTGTTTGCTTTAATGTCGTCTTCTTATTCCACAGTTTTCTGGTTATCACTGTATGATGCAAACATTACTTCTTAAGATTTTAACCCTATCACGGTTGGGGGGGGCGCGCCCCCTTCCCTCAGCCTGTGCAGTGCTCTAATCTGAATAACTTTAAAATGGCTTACAATAGAACGCTAAAACTTCTTCACTTTCTAAACATCATAGTTATGAACAAATTTTGCAACAAATTTGTTTTATGCACAGAGAATGGTCAAACGGCGGGTCGGGGTTTAAACAAAATCAGAAATGGTTAATAGCTTTTTTATTAATTAAGCTCCAGGGCAAAGACTTAAATATTTGAAAAGGTCTTGAACAATGGATATAATAACATGTTTCATATGTTATTATTTGCTAAAAGTGAAAATAATAATTTTTAGAAATTTTTTCGACATACTTTTTGAACTTATTAAAAGCACCCTAACCATTAAAGTTAAAGATCTAATTTTTTTTAATGTGCAGGCCTTGAAAAGGTGTACTAGGGATATGTATCACACTCCCCTATCTCAAATCTAAGGGCAAAATCTTAGGGGGGTGGAAAACACCCCCCCCCCTCCCCCCAAGCTACATTAGTCAAAAATAACCTAATCGAGATAGGGTTAATATAGTGGTTGCAATTTTGACTAATTATAAAATAGAGTTCAAAAGAAAACTTTTGTGAAAAAAAAAATTTGACAGAAAAAAAGACACAAAAAATTAATTTGTCCACAACACTGCATACTCAGTTTAACTACCTTACAATAGCTGGTCTGTCCCTTTAAATAAAATTGACTGGCCGACACTAATAACGAAAACTAAAATTTGAGTAGTAATATAAAGTAAAAAAATACTAGGCTTTTGGGCACATTGCGCCTATCTTTTATTTCAACTATTAATTCTTTTAACATTTACTCTTTAAAAAAAAAAAAAAAATTTGCTGAGTCAAATTAATCGTTTCGTTTATTTCCAAAATTTTACAAAAAAAAGGTTTGGAGACAACTTTTTATAATTTTAAGCATCCATAAACCTTTCCGATGGGGTCAAGTGAGGTCCCACACAACATTTGGGCTCAATTTTGACGTTTATCGGTCACAAACAAACAGGAAAGCAAAGTATTTATACAAGAAGTTACCTATAATTTTCCTACAACTGTCACTGTAAACTGATTCACTTTCAGCAGTACATTCCCATGCCGGGTTCAAGTTATATTCAAATCCAAATTTGTTCGCAAAAACGTAAAAAGTTGAATATGAAGGACCAGAAGGGATGACCTCCCCCTTACTATCCGTTCCGTTGTAGGAGTTCCTTTAAAAAATGTTGTTAAATGATTGTAAGCGTTATTATAAGTGAACCTCCATACAAAGGTGATAGTTTCCGATTTACAACGGTACCCTTGAAACCTTAATCTGAAAATGTGGAAGATACAGTTGTTTTTCTCTGTTGCCTCTGATAAGCAAGAAATGCGCGAGTGAAAACGAGAAGTTGAAAGAAACAAAAACATCGATACCAAATTCATACTGGATAAGCAAAAGCGCCATATTAAATTGGACATTACCATCTTTGTATGGAGTGTAACTTGGAATTTTACTAACAGTCCCTTTACAGGGACTGTTTTTGTTATTTTAGGTACTCTTGTATACACTTGTAAAAAAAGGTCATGTCTAATTCACACTGGTACTCTTGAAATCTAAATTTAATCTATAATATTTCTCGAGTAAGAAATACAAAAGTCTCTATTGACAAAAAAGTTTACAAAAATAAAAACATGGATATCTGTTAATTTTGTTCAGGCAAAGTATTGAAGGTTACTGATTTGAATTAAACAGCTTAAGTCTTTTTAAGGTACCCTTTAAAGTATTAGGAACCAAAAATAACAAATTTTATTATAATGGTCTAAAAATTCTACACCATTGAAAACTTTCTTAATTTTAAAGTGATTTAATTACATTTGCAAGAAATTAAAAGTTTGCTAAACTGTTACTCTATCAACAATTATTTGAAAGAAGGGCTTGATATATTGGTAGAAAAGTTTGAGAAATTACTTTAAAGAATGTTTTGGAAGAATAATTTGTTTTAAAAATATTTACCTATAATACCAGAGCATGGGGTAATGTTCTACATTCAGTTTGTGATTGTTCAAATCCCCTGACTAAATATTATTTATGTACATTTTTGCGTACATTTTTGTGTACATTTGTGTACATTTTTGTGTACATTTGTGTAACTTTTTGTGTACATTTGTGTACATTTTTTGTGTACATTTGTTTACATTTTTGTGTACGCTTGTGTACATTTTTGTGTACATTTTTGTGTACAGTTGTGTACATTTGTGAAATTTTTTGTGTACATTTGTGTACATTTTTGTGTATGTACATTTTGTGTACATTTGTGTACATTTTTATGTAAAGTTGTGTACGTTTTTTGTGAACATTTTTGTGTACATTGTTGAGTACTTTAGTCGGTTTTCAGAAGCTCAAAACCATTAAAAAAAACTTTAATTATTTGACAAAATTTTCCAAAGATTATTTGATAAAGGAAGTGGTTTAAAGTTCAAAATTGTACATGTTTAAGGCATTGAAAAAGTATGTGAGTTAGAAAAAGGCCAAAATATTGATTTAAATCTGAGGAATTACAAAAAAACCATAATGTTTAAATGAGGTTTTAAAACACAATATATCTACAAAAAATTTCAAATAAGAAAAAACATAATTTTTTATTTTCTAAGAAACCTGTAGGGAGTCAACTCTACCCCTGGGAACTCCCTTGATTTGGCAGAAATGCTTTATTTTCAGACGTAAATTCCTAGAACCAAAAAAAAAGGTTTTTAAGTGGAAATTATACGTTGTTGGGTCGTTTTCCTAATGTAATCCAAAGCTTTCCGTCACAAATCTGTAAAAAGCAATTTCCACAATCACTAATTTCCCAATTGCAGCTTCCCCAAAAAACTTCCCGTCACAAATTCCCAAGCAGCAACTTCCCCAATGACTAATTTACCCTACAGCAACTTCCCGTCACAACCTCCCCAAAATATTTTTCCCAACAGGAATTTCCTCATCACAATTTCCCCAACAGCAATTTCCCCATCACAATTTCCCCAACACAATTTCCCCAACAGCAATTTCCACAACACAATTTCCCCAACACAATTTCCCAACAGAAATTTCCTCAACAGCAATTTCCCCATCACAATTTCCCATTACAACTTTCCCAAGAATAACTACCCCAATCACTAATTTCCCCAACAGCAATTCCCCATCACAATTTCCCGTCACAAATTCCCAAACAGCAACTTCCCCAATCACTAATTTTCCCAACAGCAATTTCCCCAACAACAATTTCCGGCAATAATTTCCCGTTACAACTTCCCCAACAGCAACTACTCCAATTACTAATTTTCCCGACAGCAATTTCCCCAAAAGCAATTTCCCCTACAGCAACTTCCCAACAGCAACTTCCTCAACAATTTCCACATGCGCTAAAATTCCCTCATAAAATGATAAATTTCAGAAAAGTTTGAAATGATCTTTGATGAAATTAACAAGATTATTGGTTAAAAAAATATTATTTGATGAAAATTAACAAATTATACAAATTTAAATTTTAATATTTGTTATTGCATGGAATTCATAATTAAATTATAAAATCTAAGGTTTGAACACAGAACAGTTACGTTTTTTTTTTATTTTCAATTTGAGATAATCAGACAGGATGAATCCTTTACTGAAGCTTGTTTATCAATATCTGTTTGAAATTATCTAAATAATAATTATTCTGAACTCTAATCAATAACATTGAATTGTTCATATTATCCCACTTGAACGCAGAAACTGAAAAGGAACTTTCAGCCATTTAATTGCAAGTGACTATTCATTCAAAGATGGCAAAGTCCGATTTAAACGGTTATACCATTAAACACTTAGTCTGATCTCAAGTATAACCTAGATATTCATATCGTTGTTCCTTCAACCATATTTCAATTGGCGGTTTCTCTGCGAAAATTACATTTCTTGCTATTCATAGAAGAAGCAATAGAACAATTTATAGAAAATCGACGCTATTTTCCACATTTTTGATAAGATAAAGTTTTCAAGGGCACAGTTGTAAGTAGGGCGTTGCTATCTTTGCATAAAGGGTCACTTGAAATTACGCTCACAGTCCCTTTAAAAGTCTTGTTTTTCTTCTAAATCATTACCTTGTGGTTCGATTGTTTTTGTAGTTGAAAATACTCACACCCCTGCAGCAAAAACCAGATTTGTACGGTGTGAATAGTAATACAGTTAGGGATGGGCGAAAGCTAGATCAGTTTTACATAAACTTTAAATATTTTCGATTTTTGAAAGGTTTTACGAAAATCTGAGAAGAGTCCAACGATTTAAAATTGCGTTCTGTAGAAGTTTGCTTTTATCAAACATGCAAAATTGTTATTCTAGGTAAAAACAAATGGCAGAAAAGAACCAAAACTGATCGTTTTAAAAACCAAAAAACGGTCGTTTTAAAACGATCGTCTTGTCTTATTTTCTTTTAGGGTAACAAATTTACATGTCTGATTAAACCAAACTTCTTAAGAATAAAATATTTAAATGATGGAACGTACCTTGTAAACATATTAAGACAGTTAAAGGAACTGTAAAGATATTGAGACGGTTAAAGAAACTGTAAACATATTGAGATGGTTAAAGGAACTATAAACATATTGAGATGGTTAAAGGAACTGTAAACAGATTAAGACGGTTAAAGGAACTGTAAACATATTGAGATGGTTAAAGGAACTGTAAACATATTGAGATGGATAAAGGAACTGTAAACATATTGAGACGGTTAAAGGAACTGTAAACATATTGAGATGGTTAAAGGAACTGTAAACATATTGAGATGGTTAAAGGAACTGTAAACATATTGAGATGGATAAAGGAACTGTAAACGTATTGAGACGGTTAAAGGGACTTGAAATATAATTTTAAATGAAAACGTGCCAAAAACACAAACCTGTAAGTTTCTCCGCAACCAGGGAAAAATAGATTCAGAAAACTTATATTTCCTTTTCTCACAACTTCCAATGTTGATTCATTGTATCCTGATAGAAGGTTAGGTAGGTTAGGTAGGCTAGGTAGGTCAGGTAGGTTAGGTAGGTTAGGTAGGTTAGGTAGGTTATGTAGGTTATGTAGGTTAGGTAGGTTAGGTAGGTTAGGTAGGTTAGGTAGGTTAGGTAGGTTAGGTAGGTTAGGTAGGTTAGGTAGGTTAGGTAGGTTAGGTAGGTTAGGTAGGTTAGGTAGGTTAGGTAGGTTAGGTAGGTTAGGTAGGTTAGGTAGGTTAGGTAGGTTAGGTAGGTTAGGTAGGTTAGGTAGGTTAGGTAGGTTAGGTAGGTTAGGTAGGTTAGGTAGGTTGGTTATACCTATTTTTTTATCTTCTCCTTTCAGAATTATGTAAACGCAATCAGTTGGTCTGAAAAGTGACGACATTAAATTAATTATTAATATTATCCATAGTTCAAAGTTTGACCACCAATAAGAGAAATAATAAGGTAGACTAAATGTAAGAATTTAAACAAATGTAAGGTCGTCTTTAAATTTCGATTTTGTGACCATTGTATAGAAGACGATTTTTTACCTTCTTGAGAGACAAAGTGTATTCCGCTGAGTTTTCCCCTGATATAATTTTTAAAATAATTATGAATAAAATTTAAATAAAACAATTCATAAAGTTTTTGAGAAATAAACAATTAAAATTCCTGATCTGTTTTATCATTTGTTATAGTAAGATGACAAGTATCTAATCCATCTCCTTGTTTCAGTCCGCGGGTGTCGTCTTCATTCAGAATAATCTGCATAATACAAGTGGTTGTTTAAGAAATAATAAAAGTGGTAATAACACCCGGCCCCCCTAACCTAACACTCGGACCCTAAACAGTTTAATACAGTTAGAACCAGAAAACTTTGGATTTAGAAGACAACATATTTTGGTAATATTTAAGTGTATTTGAAGCTCTTCAAGGGCGTACTTAGGGGGGGGGGGGGCAAATTTCAACTGTAAATTCAAAACATTTTGCTTCTTGGATACTTTAAAGTACGGTTTCCAATCACAATTTAAAGGGAGTGTTCGCAAAAATGAAAGGCTTAATGCGATAAAAAAGCGCTTTTGATCGCCACTAATCTTACTTCTATAGACGCAACAGATATATCTGTTGCGTCTATAAAGAGAAAATTGTTAAAGACGTCTCATACCGAATAACTGGCGTCCATACAAATTGAGAAAATTGCAACATACGACTTAGACCGTAAAAAAAATCAATTTAATTTCAAACAAATCATTCAGATATTACAACCTATAGTCATCGATTATCTTTCGCCACATTTATATATAGTTGAATTAAAAAAAGATAAACATCAGGCCCGTAACCAGGGGGGGGGGGAATGCAAGATAAACAAACATAACTTGCGAGATTTCAAAACTGTATTATGTTAAAGTTATACTTAATTTATTAAACTTTACAATATCGTTAAATAAATGAAAAAACGGTTTGCGGATGTGAATTTGAAGTCAACAAACAGAAATATTTTTAGAATTTTTATTTCTGTCGAAATAATCCTTAAGCTGCCTAGGATTATCCCAATTAAAAGAAAAATGCCTTAACTATGAATTTTAAATATTTGAATGGTAGAAATGTAATTTGCTCTATATATAGAACCTTTATTCTGGAACATTCGGAATATATTCAAATCCTATTTTGTATTCAGCAATTTTTGTATTCAGCCATCTCGAATAAGGAAGCAATTAAATAGTCGCGGAATTGCGCACAAATGAATTAAGCTTTGCCACCGAAAAATATTTTTAATTGTGATATTTTGCTACAGTGAGAACCAGAAAACTATGGCATAGGAAGACAACATTACAGTGTACTAGATGTCGTTACAAAGCAACAAATTTTAAATTAACAACTTATTAAATCACTTATTCCATGAAAGCAGAACCAGAGTCTAAAAGTCGTCTTCTTATGCCAGAGTTTTCTGGTTGTCATGCTGTATATAAATATCATAAAATAAAAAAATAAGTTTAAATACAAATTTCTTAGAATTTAAGACTGAAATTTTAGTGAAGTTCAGTTTATTATATGCCACTACCAAAGTTTAAATTGATTTTTTTTAACTCAATGTTGTTGATCGGAATTGCGCAATAAGTAATTGCATTTATTGCGTTCCATTAGGTTTTAAGTGATATATATATATATATATATATATATATATATATATATATATATATATGCCTTTCAGTTTGATAATCGGAAACCCTCGTTTAAAGGGAGTGTTCGCGAAAACTGAAAGGGGGTATGGGCTTAATGCGATTAAAAAGCGCTTTTGATCGCTACTAATCTTACTTCCAAGTTCCATCTGTTGCGTCTTTAAGAAGAAAAATGTTAAAAACTACTACTACTAATAATAATAATAATAATCAATTCTAAGCAAATCATTCAGTTATTACAACCAAAAGTGATCGATTATTTTTCGACGCATTCGTATATAGTTAATTTTTCATAATATTTTGATTTTGTTGTCCAAAAAAATAATATTTCGCTGGTGCTGGATTTTCAAACATACGAAAATTATTTCAAAGGTAACTATCACGTCATAGAAAAACAAAAAAATATTACGAAATATCAACTATATACGAATGAGTCGAAAAATAATCGACGACTATTGTTTGTAATATCTGAATGACTTGTGTGGAATTAAATTGATTTTTTACGAGCCGAGTTGAATGTTGCAACTTGCCGAATTTGTATGAACGCTACGTTCTTCAGCATAAGTCGTTTTTAACAATTTTCTCCTTATAGACACAACAGATGGAAGTGAGATTAGTATATGCGATCAAAAGGGCTTATTATTCGCCGCAAGCATATACCCCCTTTTAGTTTTCGCACTCCCTCCCTTTATGTGATTTATAGAAACAAAACTAGCAGAAAAAATATTCACTATTTATTTTCAGATTTGAAAAGTGTTAAAGCTCTGAGTTTAAGAGGGGGCCCAGCCCCTCCCCCTAAACAGGTGTAGGGGGGGCAAAGCCCCCCTGAGTACGCCCTTGGAGCCTCTTACACAGTAACTAGTTTACTGTTAACTTATTGAATTACTTATTTATTAAAGTTGGTCTGTTTACACTGCACAATTGCTTTTTCTCATGCTCATTGGTCTATATAAACGAACACTTAAGTCTAAAAGTCTATTTTTTAGTTTTCTGGTTCTCATTGGATGCTTGCGAATGTAGAATTGTGGACACATTTTTAGGATTCATTTGAGACATATAAAACGTTTCTACGACTTATATTTACTGAGCGCAAAGTCGATGTTCAAAATCATGAATTTGGGTGGATACGTTTTCAGAATCGTTTTTTTTAATTATTAAATAACAGCGACAAAAAATGTAAACAAAATTAGTTGTTAAGGAACCGGTTAAGAAAATAAAAATTAACGCTTATCATCGATGATAAGTAATCTTATTTACTTATTATTTTCTACAATCTCTTGTCATTCACAAAGATTTCCTGCAGATTTTCTGAAATTTCTTTTGAAAAGACGAAATTTGAAGAACTTGTAGAAATCTGCGAACAAAATCTTAGAAAATAAGAAATTCAATATAATGATGAAACGAAATAATTGATTTTAACATTGATTTATTGACAAACTTCTTTTGAGAAATATGTTCCTAAACATCTAACAAGTTTGTTGCAAAATTTTTACTTTATTTTTCATCGTCGTTCTTTAATAATTTAAAAAAAACTGATTCTGAAAATTCTGAAATTCATGACTTGGACGTTGACCATTCAATCAAACTCAAAGTCGCATGCTAGACATAGTCGCATGCTAAACATAGTCGCATGCTAGACATAGTCGCATGCTAGACATAGTCGCATTCTAGACATAGTCACATACGAGACATAGTCGCATGCCAGACATAGTCGCATAATAGACATAGTCGCATGCTAGACATAGTCACATACTAGACATAGTCACATGCTAGACATAGTGGCATGCTAGACATAGTCGCATGCTAGACATAGTCGCATGCTAAACATAGTCGCATGCTAGACATAGTCGCATGCTAGACATAGTCGCATTCTAGACATAGTCGCATACGAGACATAGTCGCATGCTAGACATAGTCGCATAATAGACATAGTCGCATGCAAGACATAGTCACATACTAGACATAGTCACATGTTAGACATAGTGGCATGCTAGACATAGTCGCATGCTAGACATAGTCGCATGCTAGACATAGTCGCATGCTATACATAGTCAGATACTATACATAGTCGCATGCTAGACATAGTCGCATACTAGACATAGTCGCATGCTATACATAGTCGCCTACTAGACATAGTCGCATGCTATACATAGTCACATACTAGACATAGTCGCATGCTAGACATAGTCGCATGCTGGACATAGTCGCATGCTAGACATAGTCGCATACAAGACATAGTCGCATGCTAGACATAGTCGCATACTAGACATAGTCGCATGCTAGACATAGTAACATACTAGACATAGTCGCATGCTAGACATAGTCGCATGCATGTCGGTGTATGTACAATAAAAGCCAACTTGTATTTTGAAATTGTATTTACATCTTAGATTCTTGTAAGGCTAAAATCTTTAAATGTTTAAAAACGTCCCTCAAAACAATTCCCTTCAGTAACTGTGATCCATTTTTTTTATAAGAATATATATATTGTTTAGCGCAAGCACAAATACATCCAGTAAGATATACCTTAGTATGCAGTAAAGAGTATGCAAGAATACTGTTACTTTTAATACTTAAAAAAAACATTCTAATCTCTGTTTGATAAATCATCACCTTGGTTTTAGGAATCTGCTTTGCAACCAACATATCCTAAACAATTCAAATTAGAATTGAAATTTCTTCTGGTTTTTATAAAAAAAACCTTGTGATTCCATTCTCCTATTAGAGAGAGTATACAGTGCTGGGAGGGATGAATATAGTTCCCAAGATATGGAACCAATAGTTCAAGTTCTAAACTGAAATATTTTTTTTCTTATTGATATCATTATTATTATTATAATTATTATTATTATTATTATTATTATTTTTGTTATTATTATTATTACTATTATTATTATTATTATTATTCTTATCATTATTATTATTATTATTATTATTATTATCATTATTATTATTATTATTATTATTATTATTATTATTATATTCTAATTGAGACGAAATGGTCAAAATTTAGTACATTTGAATTTCCTCATTAGATTGTGAAGAAATAGGGCCTTTGCCGTAGTACATTTTAATTTCCGAACCGGGTAAACCTTTCCAGTCACAGTTTGTACTGTACCTAGCTCTATAGACAGGACTAGCCGGTGCAACAAGGTTGATGCGGTCAGACTTTATGCTTCATATAGGTTGAATTTACTTTTACTAAAGGGGCAGAGGTGGGCCTTTGGCGAATAATCAGTTTCTTTTTCATTTGGACTGTAAGCGTAATTTCAAGTAACCCTCCATGCAAAGATGGCAATACCGGATTTACAACAATACCCTGTAAGGCTTATGAATTATAAATCAATGTTTTTGTTTTGCTCTAAAATGTTTATTTCTATTTGCGGTTTCTCTGCAAAAGTGACTTGCATTTCTTATTTGTCAGAAGAAAGAGAGATACTTACAGATATAAACATTTTCCAAGTATGAAAAACAATTATATCTTCCACATTTTTAATCAGCCTAAGGTTTACTGTTGTAAATCAGGCATTGCCATCTTTGCATGAAGAATATTATATATCATGGAAATATAATGTACTGTGTTTGTCTGTCCAATACTAAAACCCTATTAACAATATTTACAAATATCAAGGGGATTAAGGATTTTTAAATGCTAGATTAAAATTAAAATATATTTTTTTAAAAATTAAATTAAAAATGTTTGAAGCTGTTCATTGTAAAGATTACGCAGAAAATTAACAAACATTTTTTTAATCCAAACATTATGTTGATTTTTACCCTCCCTACACCCTATACAGACATATTTGATAGGTCAAAAAATGTCATCTAAATACCAAGTTAATGAATAAATATTTGAACAGAATCAATATATAAATTTGGCTTGTCTGTATGTTTCTTTGTCTGTTTGTTTGTATCCAATAAAAGTCAAAACGGCTGAACCGATTAAGCCCAAATATTTTGTGGGATATCACGTGATCCCAGGAATGGTTTAGGAACGATAAAAATAAAAAATTTGGCTTAAAAGTTTTGATTTTAAAGCCTAGTAATATATATTTTTGATGTCACGCATAATGAATTTAAAATAAAGATAAAAAATATTGAAGAAAAAAAATCAATAAATTAGTATTCAGCGGTTTATGACGCGTCTTTTTGAACCCCATTTAAACATGTTTTGAAAAATTGAAAAATTCCTCCTTTATGATTTCTGTCTTTTGAATCGGTAATTTCCGAAAAAGTTTTAATTTCTTTTTATATAAATAATCTTATAATTTTCATATATTTTTTTGCTGGTTCCAAAAGGATTTGATATTTTCAATGAAATATAATAACCTCTTATAGTGGCTCGGACGAGAAAATGAGGAGAATGTGGCGTAGACGAGAAATTGTTGTAGCTGGCCTTCCTCCCCTCGTTAAGTGGGATCTATGTAACTTTGGATTAGCTAGAATTAGACGACTGTTGGATTCAAGTTTTCATTTAAGATAATTGTGTTCACATAAGTCACAGCAATTGTGCATGTGCAATATATAAAAGCCCATTTTCATTAACCCTAGTCCTGCTGGAGTGGGGGGGAGGGGGTCGAATTCTGAGGAAATTGATACAGTTCAAGGATGGCAGCTGAAAAAACTATCTGAGGGTCTTCAATCAATTTAAAGACTTAATAGGAGATCAGCCGGAGTCCAGACCACCAACTAAGCATGAGTTATTACAATTTGTTCGTCATCTTGAAGAGGAGAGAGGATGGCTTCATCCAGTCTTCAGAGAATCTACATTATTGTAGCCATCCCCTCCCCCCCTCCCTCACTCTAAGGGGTTGTGTAGACTGCAGAGTAACAATTCTGCTGAAAGCTTTGATGTTGATATCAAAGAAAAGACTAATGTGTCATCAGTAACTTCCAACAGTTTCTGTTGAATGCTGATTCTTTTACTCCTTAAATTGGATTGTTAGAAAGACAATTGTTTGTTTGGCGTATTATGGTGGACTAAAGGACATACAGAAATGATGTATATTCAAATAGAATTGTGTGAGAGCACATCTGAGATAATCTATGTGACACATTCAGGGGCCAAGCAAAGAAGCATTAAATGATCCATTAGGTTTTTGGTCCCTATAACCAACAAAAGTCGCAGTGCTGATAATGTTGACTAACACATTGAAACCATTTCAGAAAAGCTTGGAAAATTTACTGGTCATCTTCTTTGAACAGGAAATGCAAAATCTTTCTTTACCCAACTGATGGGTCGCAATATGGTTTCAAAGGTCCCTTCTGATATGGCGGAGAGACTACAGTGGATATACTTTGCATTCTTATAGGCGGTCAGCAGCAACTGCAGTAGCTGATGTAGTGCTACCTCAGAATAGATGAGGGACTTTTTTGGATGGGCCAGCACAATGATGACAGCTGAGTACATTTCAACTCCTAAAGCAGCTGTTATTAACATAGGTAAAGATAGATTGCGCATAAGACGACATTTTTCATCTTGAAAGATATAAATGTACAGAGATGTTTTAAAGATATTCCTATTATATAGATTAACTAGGTCGGTTGTGAAAATTGGCTGCTTTTATGTCATTGAGTACTTGTGGTGTACATGAGTTCTGTAGAGGGAAATTTAAGTTAGTTTAGTCCTTCTCATGTCCTTCTTCAGTTCTCGCCAATATGATATATAACTCAGTGAAATCAAATTCACTCCTGAGTAGTTTAATAATTATGAAATCCATTAAAACACCAAACCACCCCGCTTATCATTGAAGTACACTTTGATCCCTAGAAGTATGAGTTCGCAGACTGTACAATTCTTGGTGATTTTGCGTACATAAGCTATCTATGTTTATTTATTTATCTATGGTTATCAATGTTGCCAACAAGCTAGCAGCATCTGAAAAGACCATAGCTACCTGCCCAGTTTCTACTACTGTTGAAGAGGTTGCTGTTGTAGATAAGGAGAAGGAGATAACAACTATAGAATTTTAGGGGGGATTGAGAGTGAGGAGCTCTAAGATGATGTGGTGGTGAACCTGACTGAGGTTGTCACTCACCAACAATATGTAGAGTCTCCAGCACCAGGAACATCAGAGAGACAAATCCCATAAAGATTGAGTCTGGAGGAAAAGTGTTTGATCTATTAACTCGTACTATTGAAAACTTCACCTTCAGACTTTAAAAATTTATATTATGTGTGTATTTAGCAATAGATTATAAAATGCTTTTTTTCAGTGAAAATCTTAGACATGTAATTTGAAAATAGCTTCTGGGACATTATTTCTCACAATGTCCCAGGACAATTATGAGAAATAATGTCCCAAAGTCCGAATTTAATGAATTTGAGCCGCGTCTTAAATCTGCCAAAAACCAGTTTCAATTGAGGGCCGGTTTAAATCTTGAAACATTTAATACAATTTTAACTGGAAACAACTATATTTGCGCCATGTTTCAAATTTAAGTCGCGGCTCAAATTCTTTAATTTCGGCCTCAGAAGATTTTCAAACTACAGGAAAATATACCCGGGATGATAATTCGCTCAAAATGGAATAAAAAATGTAATTCATCTCACTAAAGCTTTTTTAAATAGTTCTGGTACTATATCTTTTAATAAATTTTACTCTTAAACGTACTTAAACTCTAGATAGCCATCTAAAATCTTTAATATTGGTTGTTCAACAACTCTAGCACTTTTCAATTTAATTCATCAAATATATTTTCAAAACAGTGTACATAACTTACAGTTTTTTATTGATCAAATAACGCAGATGAAAAACAAAAATTTTTGTTTTTTTCCACAAAGCTACAAACATGTTTCAAATTTTAGGGAATTGAGTCTTTGGCACAAATTTAGTAATTCTAATTCCTAGATTTTTGCAATCTGATGATGTAAGCCTGAAATATTTCAAACTTGGATGATTTACTTTAACAGAATTCATAGTTTGAAATAGATATATGACATTGTAAAGATATTGAGATAAGAAATTCAGAGTTTGTGGCAAAGACTCAATTCCTTTTATTATTGTTTCATTCTTCAAATTTCCGGGCATTTAGGGGACAAGTCTGAAATTCTTCTATGCATATTAGGCTTACAGGGCACTTTGAACCCATCTTCTATTTCAACTGTTAACATTTTCTCTGTGTGATCATTGTAAAACAAAGAGAAACAAAAAAGTTCCCGGATTTAAAAAATTTTTTGTGGATTTTCTAAATTCAATGACAATTTAATTTTGTTGGATGCTAATTTTTGAAACTTTTAAATTCCTAAACCTTCCCTGGGGTCATGTGAGGTCCCACACAAAATTGGAGCCCGATCATTTTAGCTGTTTTGACGTTTGTTGGATACAAAGAAACAAACAGACAGACAGACAAGCAAAGTATATAGATTTTTTGTCTACTGTAAGTGCCCAATTTTTAATGATTGGCTTGAGAAAAAATCAGAATGTGCCCATCCCTAATTAGGGTTAAATAGATTTTTAAGAAATTCTAGAATTGAACAACAAGTATTTTTAATGAACAAATTTCTGGCAAGTTAAGGACTGTGGATTAAAGGCTCAAAATATATAAATACAATTATACAAGGTTGATCAATCAAATCAAATTGAAACTTCAAAATCCAACTTTTAAAAGACTGTAAATGTAATTTTAATAGATCCTTCATGCAAAGATAGCAATACCGAACTCAAACGGTACCCTTGAAACCTATCTGATAAAAAATGTAGAAGATATCGTTGTTTTTCTGACTGGTAAAGGATTTACTTCTGTGAGTTTCTTATATTGTAAAAATGCGAAATCACCTTTGGAGGGAAATCA